AGCAACCATTTATTGAATTATTTGTCAAAAGATTGAAGGCAAACTATTTCAGCATTTTTTTATCTAATAGGAAGAAAGGAAAAAAGTATGATACCTAGTGAGTCTTAAAGCAAGGCAGTAAAGCGACATTTGTTTCTCTACATGGGAAGCTGTAATTTTAGTTATCTTTTAATCATTAGAAAGAGCTAAATGAAAAACCTGGCATTTCAAATGGTAAGAAGAAGTTTCATACTTCCTACTGTGCTCAATATCCAGAAAGGATGAAGTATTTGGATCCTGCTGTGCAGTTATTTCTCCCTGGGAACACGTGTAATATCAAAACCTTTACCACGTGACATCTCAGTTTGTGAATGCAAAATTCTATGTACAACAAACATTAGCATCTCTAGTGGAAAACTGGGAAGCTGTTTAAGCATATCATCACAGGGTGGGTTTGTGTATGTGTTGAGAAGTGCAATTGATTTTTGTTTATCTAATCCTTATCTTGACAGACTATATTCAAAACACACAGGACTCCAAAAACCAAGTTATGTACCCCATCTTTTAATACGACACTAAGTGAAATGAAGGATAGTCACAGGCATCTCTTTCTATAATAGTTAAGAAAAAATATTTGTGTGCTAACATACTGAACTCATTTCCAGAAGACATGTAAAAGTGTACTTATTTGAGGCCAACTGATGCTCGGTAATATTAAGTTCTTAGCCTCACATTTTCTCTACCTTTAATTTTCTAGTGCTTACAATAAGCACTAACACTTGTTTCTGTTATTAAAAAATAGATTCCTTTGATTCTCACACACGATTTTCAGCAAAGTCATAAGAACTTATGACTAAGCATGTTTTACAAATTTTTCATAGGAAAGTGGTGCCTTAGGATGTACATCTTTCACACATGATTTTGAATACTAATTTTAGTGCATATGCTCTAGAAAGTACTACAAAGTAAAACAAATACAATTTGGTCTTCAGAGAACTTTACTCATCCTGAAACAGATCTAGACATGGGCCAAGTGTCCTGTGAGCCCAGTGATTTTGTTAAATACTGAAAGAAAAAGTTAATGAAAGATGCGGCATTCTACTTCCCATCTTAGTACTTCCTCCCTCCTGCCATGCTATTACTGTGAGGCTCTGAGTGGCCTGTTGAAAATGAGCCATGATGGGCCTGTTTCAAAGGACCAGTTCTGGTTGCCATGGGTTCCTGCAAAAGGGCATTGCCAAATCCAACTGGGCATCCTATTTTCCAGAGTTCTCCCACTGATTCAAGTTCTGTTAGAGCTATTTTCATTTGAAACATCATTTTTCTCCCTTTGGTGATAGAACAATTGCCTTATTTTAGACACAGCCTCACCAGCATCTTTAGAGATGGCAAAGTTGCATAGGAATTATCACTGTTGAATAATAAAAATATACGAGATTACAGTTTTTTAACTTGGCTTCAAATATTTGGGCTAAGTATACCCAGAAGAAGTTTCCAGATAAAATACACTGCTTTGTTTCCTGAAGGTACTTACAGGTGCTAGATACTATGAATATCTTTAAAAGGAGTGTTCTAATAGTTAGACATTTAATAATGACTTAATAGTCAGTAAATGTCTTTTAACCAAATTATGGTTATCTTTAACAATTTTAACAGGCTTATTTATTGTATAGTAAAGTATAGGAACTAGTAGAGTATAGAAAATGTAGTAAAGTTGATAGTATTTTTACAGTAAGTATATAACTTTATTAATCTATAAGAACTATGATATAGTAGGTATCTGTAACATAATTTATATAATAAAGTTGATAGTCCCAATACTCGAGTCAAAATAAATATCATTCCATTTTCATCTTCATTTCCTATTTCATTATAATGCCCTCTGAAGTGTATATTATAAAACGACCTTAAAATTTTTCTCAGCCAGTAAAATCTTTCATAAATGTTTTGGATTGTTTTGTCAAGGGTACTGGAGAAGGGATGAGAAGGAAGTTACAGAATTGACAGAACTACAAATAGCACTATGCCTATGAGGAGAAAACTGGGAGAATTTATGTTAAAGTACACTAAACCCATATTTTCTGGGTATTATTATTGGCCGTCTATAGCTGGTAGCTTAAAGGTTTTAAATTTCTGATATATATTCAGTAGACAGTGATCTGAAATAAAATCTCTCTGAGCTATAAATTACTCTGTATAACATGTGGTAGTGATCACTGTGATATTTCAGCCAGTCACAAATGCATTCTCTACAAAGACCTGATACCACTTGTCTTAAAGTCCATGTTAAAGACCCAAGACCTGACTCCATCCTAATGCTGTATCATTTTGTTCCCCTGCTCTGTGATATTTATTCCGAAGCATTTTCAACAAACACCAAAACTTGGACTGAAAACTCCCTAGATGAAAGGAACATTGCTAGTCATTTGTCACCATTCTCTGACTAAGCTTACATAGAAGGAAAGATTACTATTTTAATAAAATCTCATGTGGCCAAACAAATCAAAACAGCAGAGTTTATGAGAGTGCCATAGTTAATGATGATAAAATACACATGTCTGACCATATCCAGAGCAATTAACCTAAAGACCTGCTTTTAAAAAAATCAACTTATGTCTCCATTGAACAGAGATAAGACAGAAGGTTTCAAAGACATGATGCAAGTATTCCTTCTGGATCTTGTTCTGTTGAATGCAATTAATTTGAATTTGCTTCAACAAACTAAATAATTTATGCAGAAGATGTCTGTTAGTTCACCTGTATATTGGCTTGCATATTTTAAAAGAGAAGAATCCTAGTGGAATAAGAATAAGGATTTAAATCTAATTAACCTCTTGTTTACATGGCTGTGGATGGGGAGTGAGGAGATAGAGGGCTAGGTGAGTGCTGGTTAACCTTCAGTGCCCTTCCAATGTTCTCAAAGACAGGACAAAATGACTGGCTTTGGCATGCAGGGGCCAGCTTGCTCAGGAAACTGGCATATATTTTAAAAATGCATAAACAAACTCTCCATCCAGGAAGCTGAGTTTAACAATTGCCTCATTAACAAGTTCCAGGGAAGGACAGGAAAAGAGGGGGAAGCCTGTGTCTGATTATTATACAGTTCCAGACAGATGAAGCCCTTTAGCATCTCCCCAAACAATCCCTGTAGTGTGGATTTGACAAAGTGGCACATTTAAGAGGGAACTCTCTTGCCATCAATAGGAGTCAAACACACCCGTATCTTAGGGCCAAATTCAGTCCCTGGAGCTTGACTTTATCAGTGTACACAAGACAGAGGACAAGGCAGCTACATCCACAGAGAATTAATTAAAGCAAAAGAGAGATCTAGTGAATGTAACCAATAGACTTGAACACTGATCTACATATCAATCATCATTGCTTTCAACCCCTATGTTTTAAAAAAATAATTTACACTACGTTGCTCCATAACTATTACTCCAACAGAGATTCGTTTGCTTCTTGACCTCATTGAAATTACGTATTTTTCCACATTGCATCATGCAAAATGTATTGCCAACAACTAAACATTCTGATGCCAGTTTAAGTTTCTGAATGGTTAAAATCTTTTTGGGTAGGATTCTATTGAACATGATTTATTAGTTTGGCTTTCTCCCTGCACATTTCTCCAGTTTCAAATGGGATGTATGACAAATAACCCAGACTTCATAACTGCCAGAGTCAACATCTAAATTTGTCTTTGCAGGCTAGTTTTCTTTCTATCTCCTTTCAAAAATTGTCCATTTTATATCACACTGTAAAACCCATACTAGATATCAGTGTTGCTTACAAACACACAATAACAGTTTAACACAACTATTTCTAGTACCAGTATCAGCTGCTTCTATGTATTTCTATATATCTCAACCCTTCCCCCACCCAACACACCTCTCAAAGCACACTGCAGCTCCTTTTTTGAAACCAATGAAAACAATCATAACAAGTTTAAATTGCTTTCACTTGTGCTGGACAATAGTACAAGTCTTATTACCTTCATTTTTCAATGGCTTACCAGAGACATCATTTTTTCAAGAACAGGTTCTTGTTAAGTCCTTTAGCAAACATTCTGAATTCTTCTTGAATCTGTGCTTTGTGTTCATCTCTCCTAAGCAGCACCGAGACCAGAGTAACTCCTCAGTCACCACTTGTGATAGGCTCTGGTCCCATCAAGTCAACAGTAGCCTTTATTGCTTAAGGAAAATAGGAAATTCTGCCTCCTGGGCACAAACATGTGAATTTTCTATGTCCAGGACCAAAAGGATAAAAAGGGCAGATTTAACTAATATTTCCATAAGAATGAAAGTCTTGCTTTTAACTAACATGTGTATTGCTTTACTCATGAATCACACCCCAGGGATCTATCTAATCAACATTTTTCAATTGCAATGGATCTAATTTTACAGACCTTACTTACACCATACTCCCTTTAAAATAGGTGGGAGTGTGACTTGAGTAAGTACTATAAAACCAGAGCCTGTTTTCCCCTCTGATCATGGTTGCTTTTATAAAAAGATGTGATTTCAACCTTAGCACCAATACAACCTCAAAATAATCTAAAATAGAATGATGCCATGATAAATGAAACATTGAAATGGGAAAATAAGTGGTTTGCTGGGAAGAAGCTGATTTCTTCTTACTCAAAAACTAGGAGTGAGGCATAATTAAAAAATGATAAAATGTAGAATTATTATTGACACAATGACAGTGCAGATTTTGGTGGCCAAAATAAGTTAATGAGATATAGAACCATAGGGTTACCCATGATATAGGCCCACTGGAAGCAGCTAGTGTTCAACCAGTTTGGTTTTTATATGGCCTTCAAAGATTAATGTCAACTATGGTTATTTTAAAATTAACAAAAAAATTTACCTGGTTGTTAACAAAAGAATATGAAATGGAGAAAAAAGAAAATAAGCAAACATACCATGTTCACACACAAAACAAAATAATTCTTTCAGGGACACTAGGGAAGGTGGAACACTATAACAACACATGTTATATTGTTATACTATTCCACCCACCTTAATGAGGAACCCTTGGGCGTTGCTACTCCATAGCCTTTGGAATCCAGATTTCCTCCCACTTTCATCGTGTCACATGGCTTTCGTTGCTCAATGTATTCATTCATAGTGGACTCCAGGAGAAAGGCAAATTTGCCCTTGGATTTGCGGACACGAGCTACTCCCTCAGCTGTAGTCCTAGTGAAAACTGATGGCTCTGCTGATCGCATGTAGGTCCACATCTTTTCATACACTGCTATTTTTGATCTCTGGAGGAAATGAAAATAAAATTAAATACAGGAAAGAAGGGAACAACATGTTAATATTGACGGAAGTGAGTTAAGGGTCAAACCTTTTAGTATCTGTCAATTGCCCTCTGTCTCTAGTTTGCCAGATAGTGATGTAACAGTGACATTATTCTTTTATAATTGCAAAACTGCATTGTAAAACTATTTAAGAAAGTCACCCAAATGACAGACGTTTAAAGTGATAGTTAAAGAATCCTACACATGTTGCCATGATAATTTTACCATTCATTTATGCAACTCAATAAGTTACATAAATAGCAACTTATTATTTTAAAAGCAGAAGACCACAGAGAGCATTGAACATAAAAAATCATGTTTTATATCACATTCATGGTAAATTTGAAAAGTGTCAGAGAAGACTTGATTTTAACTTTTGTGAAACTCTTAACTGTATTTGAGTTATACCAAATAAGGAGGGTTTTTATTTCATCTTTTTTCATGGCTCACAGTAAGATGTATATACAAGTACAGCTCATATTAATTCAGTAGTTGAACACCAACGGAGGAGGAGAAATATGCTACAGTTTGCAAACCAAAAATTCACAAAACAAAAATGGAATGAAATTCTAAATTGGTCAAAACATTTTTAGACTTTTTCTGACAAAATTTCCCAGTAGAACCTACACTGAACTTTGAAGAGAAATCATTCCAATTTTCCTCGTTGTAATTTGATGAGTTAGTCATTCTAATCTCCTGACTCCAATGAAGAAATTGATTGCTCTTTATAAATTACCTCGGTCTACCTGAGATCTAGCTACATTACTCTCACTACTTAACTTACCCAGGTCTTTTTGACAGCCTTTGAATGCACATCAGATTTTATCCCTTCACACATACATTTCTAATATGGAAGTACATTCAAATGAATAGCCCCCAAAAGATATGTTTAGTAAGACAAAAAAACCTGAGTCCTATTTTGTGTTTGATAGGGCAATGATGCATATAGATTTTCATGATTGCATTTATTCAATAACAAGGTATATTGATCTAAATAAAAAAGTAACGTAAACTTCATTCAGAATTCAGTCTGTGTGAGGCCTAACTCTAAGTAGCATGCACATTTATTTATATCACTCTTCCTTTGTTTGTCGAGTATAGAATCCAGCAAGCAGCAGCTCTTTACTAATCAACAAATATCCTGAATAGCAAACTTCAGAATACATATTTGTGGGGAAAAAGCAAATTATTTTTTCAGAAAGAAAAATGAAAAAAAAAAGCTGATAAAAGTGGAATTCAAGAGTTTAACTTATAAGAAGGGAAGTTAGTAATCAATAAACCCAAATAGTAAACCACTATAGCTGATTTGCATACTTGAACACCTAAGACAAAGATATTCTCTATTAACGCATATTCAAATGTTGATAAAATTCAACATAAGAATATGATATCCAATGAAATGTTTTTATGATATTAACACTTGGAAAAAAATCTCATCATGTTGAGATTGTAATGTGTGTGATGTGTGTGTGTGTATGTGTGTTTAGGCAACAGAAGGTGACTTCTGGCTACAGAAGCCTTTGTGCTAGGAAATTCTATGCCACACTTTATTCAGTTGCAGTGATTCTATGTGGTACTTGTTCAGAGAAATACCCAGATTTACAACCTCAACTATGGGATTCATTAGGACCGCCATGTTCTGGGCCTCATTCACTTCATCTTTAAAACTGAGGCTCTGTCCCAGAGAAAGAACTCGTCCATTTTACAATGATTCTGAAAAAAATAAAGTCCCTGGATCACTTGATAGAGATTGTCCCTACATATCTACTAGGACAATTTCAAATTCAAATGAGCATTGTCAACCAATATCTTTGAGACTTACAATCACTTTTTAAAAGTTTTTGCTCTATAACACATTGAAACAAGAAACAAAATCAATGTACATATTGTTTTAATTGAAATATTTTTGAAAGCTTTTAAGAATATGAAAAATATGGTAATTACTTGGCAATTTTCTAGTGATTGTTAAGTAGTATATTAACAAAACAGGTCAGTTACACAAAGCTAACATAGTAAAATGGAAATGGAGTATTTTTAGGGCCTAGTTCTTTTAGGTCATTGATATTAATATTCTTTTCCTACAATACTAATGTGAGGAAAATTACTTCTGAATTTAAGTTTGTTGACATAGGCAAAATAATTTGATGCAATCTCTTTAAAAACCAGAGGAATGAGAAATCCATAGAGTGGTTATGCTGAATTTAGTAGGTTCTAGGTACAATAGAAAGTGTAAAAAAAACAGATTCTCAGTGGAAAAAGAGAAGAAAGATGAAAGCAAATTTTATAGGAAAAAATCAGCCTGGTTTGTCACAATGCTAACGTTTGGAAATTTTTATTCTGACTTAATGGGACATGCCTCAGATAACTGCAATCTTTATGGCAAAAAGACAAGCGGCAAAGACTGGAAATAGTACCCCTCTGCTTATCTGTGACTGCAGGAGAGTTTGTTAATAGGTGTGGGAAAGCAAATATTTATAAATTTGATGAAACAGGCTAACATGAAGAAGTTTCTTCAGACCCAGTAAGCACCTGAATACAATGGTAATGGAAACTATCTACTTAAAAACCAGGCACAGGAAGTAAAAATGATCCAGAAAATGATCAAAAAATAACATAAAAACCGTTTCCTGTGAAATTAGAAAACTAACTCAGATCTATTTATTTCATCTTTATTGCAAAACTTAATATATGGGAAATTATCTCAATAATTTCAAGCATTATTTTATTAGTTAAAACACTTCCTGAAGTTTAAAAACGTGCAAGTCTTTTAATTTATCAAAAATTAAATTACTCCCAAACTAATTTTGATAGAAGCCATGTATAAATATGCATTGTAGTTAACGTTTACGTTGCTGTTAGGTGAATTCCTTCCCCTTTCTAGCAACTTGTGCTGCGAGGCTGATGTTTTGGGGAGAACTCATCAATACATTTTGTTTGATAATATAAACCTTGAGATAGCAACCCACCTCATTAATGCATTCAAGATTTCACTAATGACTAAAACAGGCACAAAATACAATCTTCATTTGAATGAAAACCAGTGTGCTTGAATCAGGTGTATAATGTAAAGTACCTGAACAGCAGGTATGTTGTTAAATGACAAGCAGGGATATTTTTTAAATGTCTCTGAGTTTGTTCTCAATGAAGTGCATAGAGCATGAAGCATATCAAATTTCACAATGGGGCAAAACCAAGGCAACAGTTGAATGCAGATGCAATTTTTCCCGTGGCTTAATTGTATTTTTCAGTTGATTACGATTGCGATTTTTTCCCCTCAAGTTTTGGGTGTACGTCACTGCTTGAGGCAGCTTAGTGGAACTGATAGATATGCCCTTACCGTGTTCCTAAGAGAAAACATTTCTGACATGTACAAAAATACCCTTCACAATCTGCTTCTTCAATTTGTCAGACAAAAATGGATTTTTTAAACCAGGTCATCATGGATGGGACAGGAGGGAGGCAAATAGGGCAAGAAATGAATAAGTTTATTATCAGAAAACCCAAATTCATACATTCCTGAAAATGTGCTGCCAGGGGAAATTATTTTCTTGCCCCATTAGGGTTTAGTGTTCTGTAGCAATAAATACCTGTGCTTATAAAACTCTTCGCTTTTAAAACTGAAGTTGAGTAGGGGAGAAAGGAAGCAAGGCACAGTGTTGGTATAGCTTATGTGGAAGACCTGAGTCCACAAAGCAGCCTCCCTTTGTCCCATATTTCTTATCAATATTCTCTCTCATCTACCTCGCCAGTTTTTAGAATTTGAATAGTTATGTAAAATTGTGTAATGGTCAGAAATAAATATTTTTTAGTGTGTTTGATCCTAAAGAGCTTTACAGTGAGCTATTTTAGAAAAATTTTAAGGGAATCAATATGACATTTCTATTTCTCTTTATCACTCAGGCAGAATGATAAGCCTGCAAATATTTTCTTTATTTAAATGACAATCAGTCATCACTTTTCAATAAAATGCATGTGACAGCCAAAGCTTGCCTTCTATTTTGATACACATACAGAATGTTTTCTAGGCAAAATCAGTAAGTATTACCTACTTACTTTTGGGCAGAAGCAGTTTTAACCTGAGAGACTTTTAGCAAGATGTTAAAATGTATCAGAGTAGGACATTTCTATTAGCAAGTACTGGAAATAGGAATATGCTTATCAAATTAAAAAAAGTTTGGCTGATTAAATTTATCTGCATAATATTGTTAATAAAACCTCTGTTATGACAACTACTTAGAGTTTTAGAAAAATTTACAAACACTTAAATTAAGTGTAAATTTTAAGTTATGTCTACTAAAAATGCTCCAAGTTGTTGACAACTATGTTATCATAGTTTCTTTTAAAAACAATGTCCAAGGATGGGTTTGACTAAGTTTTTGAGTGATTTGTTCTTGATTTAGTTTTATGTAAACATTAAAAAGTTTACCTTACTGAAAGTCAAGTACATGAATTTAATGTTGACTTAAAGAATATCACATCTGGTTGTTTTACTATTTAAGTTAAATGAGAAGAGTATATATATATATATATATATATTTATGTATCCATATATAAATACATATAGATATATATAAAATGTGAAAATGTAATCTCTTGAATATTGACTGTAAGCCTGACTGTCATTACTTTTATATAAAAGCCTTGAAAATAATGATATATGTCCTGTCTTCTAAACTATTATATAGTTCGGCCTTCAAATAATTGATATTAAATATAATATATGTTCATTATTACTGACTGGAATATTTGTAAAAATGTCACTTCAGCAGCTTTTAAATTTTTTGGTTCTAAAGTCACCAAATGAGTTATTTTCTGTGATCAGACATTGTCGAGTGTGTGTCTGTGAACACAGTATAGATAGAGGATTTGCTGGAAAAAAAAATAAACCTCGTAACAAATAAAAACAACAATAAAACCTGTGCTATTCTGAGGGAAATCCAGAGGGATCAAATACAATCTCATCAGTTTGAAAAATTGATAAAAGCAGAGAAATCAGCACAAACTAAATATCACACAATATGGGCACACATAAATTAAGAAGTTCTTGCTATTATTATCTTGTGAGAACTCAAATATATTGTTTTGAAAACCATTGTTACAGTGTAGATATAATTCATAAAAGTAACATAATCTGCAATTAAAGTTTTGGGTTTCAAAGTATTCTTTAAAAGTAAGGCTTGATTTAAGTTTTATATTCTTGCCCCAAAGTATACGTAAATCAAATCTTGTCCAATCCAAAATTATTATACCACTAATGATATTCGAAATTTTGGATAAATTATGCTATAAAGTTGTTTTAGTTATCTTTTCACTATTATTCTTCTTCAGAAATGCTTTTTGTTGAAACACAAATAAGTTAGCTTTTGCAAGTTCAAGTGGTTGTAAAATCCAAGAAGTATTAGCCTTACGCATAGCTGTTACCATGGTGTGTGCAGAATCTGTACCAGCAAAAGCCATGACAAAATTGGTATAAAAGTTGCCTGAATTTCAAAACTCTGAGCGTGTCACTGTTACTTTTTGCCCTTAACTTACTCTGAAGAATTCTTTTGTTGACCCCGAATCCAGTGTTCCATAGGCAATTTCTGTTTGTTTGGCCAGGTCTTCTGCACTTTCTATGGGTGAGACCATTCGCTCAACCGTCAGGAAGGCAGCCAGGTTAGCAGTGTAAGATGATATAATGATGAGTGTAAAGAACCACCAAACACCTCCAACAATTCGACCTGAGAGGGATCTAAACACGGATAAGATAATGCACATTTTCCTTTTTCTAACCAATAGAGAGAAAGAAGAAATGCCATCAACTGGTCATGCATATTTAAAAGTAACAGCCGCAACTATTGTTTTTTTAACAGACTACTCAAGAATGATTCTAGTATCTTTTTTGTTATACTGAAAATGTAGATGCAATTGAAAATATGGATAAGCTTTTTGTTTAATTGTCAGAAATGTGCAACTTAATGTCTTTCCTTCAGATAGAGAAGGGGAATACCTAAATTCATCACTACTCTCTCTTTCTCTCTCTCTCTCTCATTTTAGAATCTATGAGATTAGTCTAGGATTGAGATACAGTGACACGATTTAGTTGGCAGGGTTGCTTCCTTTCTTAGTGGTACATAAAATAGTAGTACATCTGGCCGATGCTGGAGCATTAGGTTTCCAACATGTTGGTAGATTCCTTTCTAGACTGAGGGAGAGAACTAGTTTTTACCTAACTTCAGAACTTTGCAAGAATGGATGGGACAAATACAGGCCAAGGTAAGTCTGGACCAGATGAGGGTCTAGGACTGGTCTCAAAGTGACCATATCACTTGATATGCCACTTCTGATTTGAGTGGGGGATGAACCATGTCTTAAAGTATTTTTATACACTGGTATAAAAGCTTTTACCTTCACCCTCTCTTTTACTATCAAGGATGTATAGGTGAGTGTGAACATAGTAGAAAAATTAAAATGAGATGAAGAAAAAAATTCCAGGGAATATTTATAATTGATTTCCATTACTGAGACCATCAAAGTATTTAAATTTCTTGCGGCACATTTTTTTAAATGTGAAGATTCATTTCATATTTTCCATGGCGTGGATAACTTTGAAATGTTCCATTACTACTTATTATTATAAAAGGGATATCTATTTTTAACTTAATATTTGCTTAATCTTGGTCTTTAAAGATCATCACTTAATTTGATTTGATTCTCAGTTCATTAATTGAAAGTTATTGGTACTAATACTTATGCAGATTTACAGTTTTCCTAGGTCTTAAAGCAATATGAACTGAATTGGGGCAAAATTCTTCTTTTTTGAGAAGTTTTATATTTATAAATAAATATATATTGGAGAGGCTAGTACAAGTCAGTAATTAAATCTAATACTTTACTTTTTATACTTTTGACTACTTTCTCTGTGGCAGAAATCAGGCTTTTTTTTCTTTACAACAAGCTGCCTTTTGGTGAATGCAATACTGAGTAATGTCTTTGTGGTATTCAAAGGAAGTCACCCATGACACTGTAGATATTGAAAAACAGTTATAAAACTAGCATAGTGTTTACACTGTTGGCTTTCCCCTATTGCTTAGCTTATTTATGTGCTGTTATATAAAATAATACCTTTGTAAATTGCATTGACTCAGGTTTTAGGAAACTCCACGACTGAAGTCTCCCTTAAGGTACTTGAGTTGAATAGCAAATTCAACAAAGATTTTTTGATGATGAACACAATAGCAACAAAATTTGCTTTTTAAAGGAGATAAAAATCAATATTAGTGCAATTCTACAATTTAGATTTGAATTATCCTCTGTAAAACCACTGAATGAAATTTTTACACAAAATGATTTTTGAGAGTTCCAACGGATTATGGTCAGTTTTCTATTGAGAGAGTTAACCTTTATGATATATCCATGTTTTGTGCTAGCTTAGACAGAATTGGCTATGAATATACTTAGGGTAATATGAGAATTGCATTATTTTAACATTTCAAATAGTGCTGTTCCAGGAAAAGAATGTATATACTCTCTCTACAACAAAATTAGAAATAAGGGAAAAATAGTTTCTGCTGGGTATTGAGGGGGTAGGGGGAAGAGGGAGGGGGTGGAGTGGGTGGTAAGGGAAGGAGTGGGGGCAGGGGGGAGAAATGAACCAAGCCTTGTATGCACATATGAATAATAAAAGAAAAAAAAGAATCAAAGTACAATCCTACACTCTCAAAATATATTGAATTTCTAAAAAAAAAAAAAAAACAAAACAAAAAGTTAACCTAGAAGGTAACACCCACGGGAAAAAAAAATGTATATAGAGAGATACTCTGTACAGCACTTAAAATTATTGGGAAATTGGTGAAGACAGCTAAGTTTTGAAACTCACCTGGGTGAAATGTCACATCCTTGTTGCATAAAAGCACCCAGGGAAAACCAGAGGCTGTTAAATATACCAAACTCGTTGGGAGGCTGGTCGCTAGGCCCCTCCTTTCCATCCTCTGGTTCTTCCGTGTGCCACTCATACGGACTAAACCTACTAACTAGGAACAAGACCACACTGACGCCAATGTAGGCAAAGACGATGCACATCCATATCTCATAGGCCAGAGGATCCAAGAAGGAAAACACTCCTGGTTTTGATTTCTGAGGCTTTTTGATCATGATAGATATGCCCAAACTCATGAAGGGCTTAGAGAAGTCAATAACCTCCTCTCTCACTAAGGTGATTGTCAGAGGGGCAATAGCAATCTCTGCTTTCTGGAAGAGAAAAGACACATGGAAACATGCAGGTTAGTGGATTTCATGAAGCAATTGGCATCACAGTGACAAAGTTAACCAGTCATGCATTTTTTTCTAAACTTTTTGGGAGGAGTGTCAACAGTGAACTCCCATGCTGGAGAGCACAAAACATTTTTATTGGTCCTAGTAGTTAGATAAAAGGATGAGAAATACAGAAAGAAGTGGAGAAACAAAATAACTTGAACTCAGATTACTGTGAGTAGTCTTTAAGGGTCTAGGACAGTGCAGAGGACAACTTAACAGTCTTTCCATATGGCTAAAGTTTTGGATTTTTTTGGCCAGGAATGGTGCTAGGCCTCAGCCTTGTCTGTTTCATTTGGAATGTTGCCATGATTCATTATTTGGCCACCCCTTATTACTATGCATTGCAAATTTCAAACAGTCATTTCTTATTTATTCTTTTCCAGCTATGAGAAGCTGATCATAAAGTCTGTGTTTTATGATAAAAGTAAAACCTTTGTTTGACAACATTCTTCAAAGCAGCCCATACACAAAAATCTGAAAATTGGTATACATTTCCTGCTATGCCTGCACTCTGATTTTCTACTTCCAATTTTTGAAAGAAGATTATGTAACACTATAACTCCTAGATATTTAATTCTCAGATATTATGATCATTCAGGGTTCTGTGACTTTATGGAATTGTTCAAGCCTGTTTCTGTATCTGTAAAATGAAGACACTCTCTTGCCTGTTTACCTCCACATGTTAATGTGGCTACCTATTAAAATCATTAATAGGATATTAGTGAACATGTGTTGAGGTATTTCATGTCTGGTGTTGATCAAAATATTTGAAAGGGCTGACTGAATTCTCCTAACAATCTCATGCTTCTCACTGTCTTGTAGATGATGGAAATGAGATCCGGAGTGAGTAGTTTCACACACCATGTGAAGTCTGGGATCTGAGCCTGCTTAATCATGCCAACTGTTAAATCAAATGAAATAAAATGTGGTGTAGAGATGAAACTGTTATATAATCTGCACATTTAAAAGGCATTTTGATTTATTTTAAAATAAAAATATTTGACATCAAAATAGAATCAGAAATCTAACTGAACATATGTGTTCTTACACAGAGGCTGCCACTCTCACATCAGTTCTGTGTGTCTTCAGGCCTCCAGTTTTTTGCCAGGGCCAGTGGAGAAGGAAATAGGGAAGGGACCTTGACATCATGGTCTCCACTGGGAGACTCAGCGTTGGGCTTAGACATGTGCAAGTGGGAATAAATATCACTTTCATCATAAATGCCTACATACGCAAGAGCCAGAAACACTGAGAGAGGATAATTTTCCCATAGTTATCATTATTTGTGTAACTTTCCACATAAAACCAACATTTGAACTAGTTACAGAAAAATTTGTATATAAAAACAGACAGCAAATTGGAAAATGTTTTCTCACTCCTATCACCTACATTTTGTTCTTTTCTCTATGCCCCATTAGATTTTTGCTCTGTAAATACTTTTTCCTTTTTTAAAAATACGTAATACAGAACATTATATTTTATAATTTCTTTTCTCAAAAGAATATGAACACTTTCTCATTTCAATATATAAACTTAAAATAAGTTTCAATTATTGCAAAGATTGTGTCAAATGCAATATATATATAGTTTCCAGTTTTACACAAGTTAAGATAGTGGCTATGAATGTTTTCACAGACAAGTGCCCCCCCATGTGTCTTAATCATCTAATATAAATTTCTAGGTCTGGGGGTGTAGCTTAGTGGTAGAGCATGTGAAGAGTGCTTTGATCCCAAGCACTGAAAAACAAATGAATTTTAGAAACAGAATTACTGGTCTAAATGATAATGACCTTTTTTTGCTGCTCATGATGTATTTTACCCACTTTTCTTCAGAATCACAATGCAAATTTGCAGTGTCCCCAGCACTAACTGCAGGAAAGCAACAACAGCCCCAGGAACCACCTGCTTATCTTCATTCCTGTTTATCTTTGCAAATTTTCTGTGTGGAAAATTATAATTCAGTGTTGTAGTTTTATTGCCACTTCAAACTTGCTACATAGCCCAAGCTAACCTTGAGCTCACAATCTTCCGGCTTCGGTCTCCTGAGTGCTAGGTATGCGCTACCAAGCCTGGCTGCAATGTTATGTTTTAAATTTTGTTGTACCTATGTAAACTTAACTTTTTGTGTTTCCAGAGTTTTGTTTTATGCTTTAGAACAACCATCATATCAATATTACATATCACATTCTAGTATAAAATCAGTGTATATTTTATAATGAATTATTACAAAACCATTAATTTTCCAAGTGATTGTCTTGTTTTTCTAACAGGAATGAATGGATAATGAGACCTTTCACTGATGTGAAATACCACCTTTCACATTCTACATTGTTCTATGTAGGATCTTCTGAAATTTTTCATGTATATAAGTTACCACAAAAGGCAGAAGAAATCATAAAAGAAAAGGCATTTGAGGAGACATGAGGTGCTGTTCAACACAAATAGATGACCAGAATGAAAAGTATCAAATCCTACAAAGTATAAGAGACATGGAAGAAGATTCCTTTTGGCATAAAAGTAGACGATTGAGTGGCAGAGATGGGTCTTTCAGCTTTCCCAGGCTGGCCAAAGAGAGTGTTATGTTACCAATGACTTCTATGCTATCTTCTCTCCCTCTGGCAACTGTATGACTGTGGGACTCTTGTAACTGTGACATGAGTATTAGTGATATAATTTGTTTATTGTTCTACTCTGTCTATATCATTTGTCTTCATTATTTAAATAATTTCCTCAAAATAAAGCTTGGTTAGAACACTTGGAAAGGGGTGAGCCTGGGGTGCCCAGTGGATAGGGATTCTACAGGAAAGATGTGTAATAAATGTCTCAGAAAGTAATTCGGGTCAGTCAGTCCATCCATTACTCATTAGTACACCGAATATAATTTTCTGAGATAAAATACTCAATAGTGTTTTCTGACATAATTGAACTAATGCACAAGTTGAGAATCACTAATGCGAAAATAAGGAATATGAAGTGCCCCCAAATCAGATGTTTTGAGCACCCACATGAAGCCCCAAGTAGAAAATTCCATATGTTGTGGATTGTAATCAAAATGTGATGCAATACACAGAAACTTTGCTGCATGCATAAAGTTATTTAATATATTATATAAAATTGTCTTCATGGTGTGCATGAAACAGAAGTGAATTTTGTGTTAAACTTGGGGTCTTTCTCTATAATATCTTGTTATGTGTATGAAAATATTCACAATTCTGAAAAAAATACACATTCTGAAACCCTTGTGTTCCCAAACATTTTGAACAAGGATATTCAGCCTGTAGTTCTAACACCTTGAATAATATCCACATCTAAATTTGGCCTATTGTATCATAAGTTTAAAATATTAAGCATAAACAAATGTATGAGGAGCTCTTTTGTCTTTGGAACTTAAAACTCAGTATGAAATTGTTGAAGAATTTTGTGTTTAAATATGTTGTGCTTTTTTTAAGTTGCATTTCCCACTCATTCAGAGTCACCTAAGTAGTCAGCAATTCTTCCTCATGATATAAAACTGATTTCTTTTTAATGTCAAACAATTTCCTTTCTGCTGAGGTTTTAGCTACTGTGGTGGACTGTGCAGAAAATGTTCATTGCTTCATGGTCTGAAAAGCAGAATGCAAAACCATGAAACTATTGAATTGCAGTTTTGTCTGGGAATGTGAGTCCCTCTGTGGACATCAGTTTCATTCTTAAAACTGGCATCTTTACTCTTTTCTAGGAAAGGATGACTCTTCATGTAATTCTTCATGTCAAAGGCATCTTAATCAGAGATAGTATGCTTTGAAAGTGAACTCTGTCAAATATGAATTGGCTTTTAGGAAATTTCAGAATATATTTCAAGTGTATGTCACTTTTATTGGTTACTTGATGAATAGCACTTACAGTGTACTGTAGTTTTGGATTCTGGACCTTTGAAAAATCATAGCATCACTTGCATTTGATAACTGCCAATTTGATTTGACACTGCAGTGGTTGCTGAAGAGAGTGGACTTGATTCATTCAAGCAGGAAAGTCATTGCTGTATTTGCCCTTGGCTATCAGTGTGTACACTCTGTGTCTGGTACACTCAAATGAAGGGCATAGCATGCTTTGTGGGAGGCCTGCTTTGGAAAAAAAATTCTAGCCTCTGTGTTTTTTTCTGCATGCGAGAATGAAAAAATGATGCATCACACAAAATTTAATTTTATGGTGTTCTGCATAATTGTACAAATCTCACATGAATGAATAATAAAGTAGTGTGGTGGTCAGCAGTTACTTAAAAGACATTTATGAGCAATTTTCAACAACAGGGATATAAGTAACTCACTAAAATCATGACCAACTTGAAGGAAATCTGTTCATATAATTATCAAATAGCAGATTACTAGTGGATTTGCTTTATAGTTCTATGGGATCACAACACCAGGATTAAGGGATGAGGCACCACAGATGCTTAAGTCCATTTTTTAAAAAAAAGTAGGACAGCATATTCTGAGTTTTTTCTCTCTTCTGATCTCTGTGTCAATTTCATTATTTGGGAATTGCATTTTTAGTGGAATAGGGAAACATGTGCTTCCACTTGTCTCTTAGAGCATAGTTTTAAATTTAATAGTAATAAATGTTTAAAAATTGAGGTGTGCCTGAGAGAAAAGAAGTTCCTGGTTTATGTAAGTACATTCTTCAATAAATGGATTTGCTTACCCCGTAAACAAGTTCTCCTACCATGCCATTCCAGATTTTTGTGTCTGCATCCCTTGCTCCATATTTTCCATCAGGAACAATGGCAATTTTATACTTGATACCAATATGTTTTGCAATTTCAGATGCCAGATCTACACAGTAGCCTTCATACTTGTCATTGCCTTCAAACATTTCGTGATTTTTCTTGTACATAACATATGGGGATTCCTATAATGAGAGAAGTAGAACTGTAAAGGAGAAATTATAAAACATTTGAAAAACCTTTATGTAACTTTTCAGTTTAAGATTTTGACAAAACTGAGTATATTTAGTATTGGTACACATAAGATTTGGTGTGGCTAGAAATTCATAATAAGATTAATTTGTAAATATGCTTAGATGTATATCAGAATTATAGTAGACACTAAAAGTAAAGTGTTTGAAGTGATTTTTCCCACAGAATGGTTATTACCTACCCAGCACTGTGACTGTAACAGGAAAAATGCCCATTAGTAATTTTCTAGAGAACCCTAAGTTATCTTCTTTGGCAATGAAATTGTTATCCCCACAACACTTCATGAAATTGGTGGTCAGTGTCACGTAGTTGAAAGACTTATTCAAGTTTTCATGCATCCATATTCTGCAGTTTTTTAGCCACATAGAGCTATGAATTGCTTTTTTTTGATCGCTAATGTTTGGCAAGACACTTCTCTCACAGCAAGTACTTGCTGTGCCATTGTTCAGGAAGTAAATCAATAGCCTCAAAATCCTATATAGTCAGTTATTTCCATTACATTTGCTTTTCTATTGTTGTCCAGTATTTTAACTTTATATAAGATTTGCTCTGCATGAGTCGTAAGTCTATTATAAAATGTGTTCCTAATGAAAGCTAATAATTCTCTTCCAGTTGTGATAAGTACAAACCTCAAGTGACAATCCCATTAATTTTTCTAAGGAAGTAAGACAGAAAATAGGAAGAAGCATTATTGTGAATGTCCTTATAAAATGAAAGTTTACTGTGAGCTAATAATTACTGGATAGTTTTCAGTTAACACGCACACACACACACACACACACACACACACACACACACACACAATCCATTTAAAGACTTCAACCAAAGGGACATGATGGCAAAAAAGCATTCGATTTTATAAATGGTTCCTAAAGCCACCAACCAAAAGATAGCCTGGTGAACTTGCAATATGGAGGAAGTCCTGTCAGTGTTCCCAGTCATTTGTGGACAAGGACTATCCCCCTCCAGCCCCAGCATTATTGAAATATTTCATAAAATTGTGCTATAAACTTCACTTAGCAATTGCTCTTGGGACTCCTCTTTTCCCCAACAAATTTGTAATTGGGGAAGCTGAACTTGCTCTTGGAGCTCTGAATTAAAAGGTAACTTACTTTGCACAACACCAATCCTGATTTTGTTTGTAAGTACTTTGTAATGTAGAACCCCATTTCAAAGACAATAAAATATGTAAATGAAACATTGTTTTATTTTCTCACAGAGATGCCTCAAATGATTCTGCAGGGTGAAATTGTCCATGATTGCTCCGTGTACTATTTTCTTAAGTTCTGCCGTTGCTTGCCATGGCCAAGGGACCCAGAAATCTTTCACCTCTTTGCATTTGATAAATATTCTAATAGTGGAACAGGGTAAAGACAATTTATCCACCTATAAAACTAGGGCAACTAGTTTTCCCTTCTTTCATTTGATGAAAGTTATTTATTATCTTGTAGAGAACATTCTGAAAATTTAAAAGGCTTTTCAAATTATGAATGTGATTATGAAGATTAGCAAGTTACTGCAAGGTAGTGAATTTTTATCATATGTTATAAAATATCAGTAATTATTGTGAGCTCATTCTTTCTTTCTATTTTTGCAATAGACCAATTAAAATATGGACGATTATAGAGAAAACAGCAAGAGCTACGTATTTGTAAAATTCTTAACATTCTAATTGAAGTGGTAGTACAGTTAGAGCAAGTATAAGAACCAGAGCACTTATGTATTATGTATAAAGTAATACACATATATATGTATGTATTATATATAACTATATTAACTTGTGTATAGAAGTTTCTGTAGCTAGCATGTAATCTAATTGTTAAATTCTTTCTATATTATACATTTAACAGTTTGCTAAACAAACACTGCATGTTTATTATTTAATTGAACACATTAAATATCTCCTGTGTGCTAGGTAGTTTGCTGGGAGCTAAGGAAATAAAAATAAAAATTGCCCTTGTCCTCTTGGGATGGAAACCACCATAAATTCTTTGTAACAAGGGTAAAAGAGTGTTTGTAGTGGGAAATAGTAAAATTTAGTACTGAAAAATAATAATGCCTCTTACTTATTTAATGCTACTCTTGTCAGATGGAATGGTAAGTTAAGTATGTCCTTCCATTACTTTTCACGCTGACACCTTGAAGTAAGCATTTCTCATTTTACATATGGGAACATTAAGAGTCAGAGAAGTGAAGCAAATTGTTCAATTTCACAGAGCTAACAAGTGACAGAAGTGTGAGTTAGGCTTACATTTTGAAATACCTGGACTTTCTGAAGCTATTTTTGTATGCATCAAGATACATGCAACTAGTTGAGATTTCCTATAATTTATCAAGAGAAGGAACAAGATTAAAAATGAGCTTCAGTGACTTTAGCCAATGACTTCACAAGATGCTTTGAGTAAATAATGGAGATTAAAAACTCTTCAATTTTTTGCATAGTGTCTGGCACATAGATGGAACTCAGTAAGAATAGTACATCAGTTCTCCCTTTTATAGGGATATCACCACAAGGCAATTATATTAGAACTTCTGATTCAAGTCTTCAAAAGGAAAGTCAAGACTGACTTGAAATAAATAGGTCATCCTATCTGAAGCAGGCTTATGTATTTATGAGTAAAGTATTTATTTAGTGCCTTCTTTAAGTTTTTATTTTCAATTTTCCTTTTGGGCTGGGATCCATCGGGCTTCTGTGTTCCTGCTGAGGAACCAACCAAGGCTAGAACAACCTTCAGCTTACTGAAGATGTTGATCATTTAGCTAGACTTTTTGCATGACCAGGGCCATAAACAGTGACCCTGATCCAGGACGAGAGAGGAACACAGCATAAGAGCAACACAGTGATTGTTCTCTAGGAGGTGGGAAGAGCAAAGGAGACAAAGCCAGGACTTTCCTTGCACAAGACTGTCAGAGTTGTTCAGCTCTACCCAAATTCTCTGAGTGTGTCTCATTTTGCTTTTCTTTCATGACAACTCCAAATGACTAGCAAATCTTTAACACTTCTAACCTCATTTGCCCAATCCTAATTTGATATTTATCTGCTTTTAACTCTTTAAACAATGCATATGAGGAGATTTAACATAAAGTTTTAGGGTTACCTGGGTGAACAAAATGTCAAATATCTTCAATGTAATAAAAATAAATTCTAGAAAATCATTAAGGGGAATTTGTGGGGCTTTCCTGCAAAGCAGTCATATGGAATCTCAAGTGTTCAATTGTGAGTAAAAATGGATCAGAGGAGTGAAATACAACCTCTTACTTCTCTTTTATGAGTGTAACCTTCCTTCTTTAATATTAAATACTGTGCTCTGCAGGACAATACTTTCTTAGAAGTTATATTTCATGCATTACTTCTTAGTGATTATGAGTTTATTAAGACAATTTCTATAATGAATGGAATGTTACATCTGCTCTGTGATACCAGGAAAAATATAGCTATTTGTCTAAAGCTGCTACATTAGGACATGCTTATGAAAATGTTTATGTAAATGAAGTAAGGTGGTTTCCTATTTCTAGATATCCCAAATATAGCCACTGCAATTACTACTGAAAAGAGACAAAATAATAACAATCAGTGATATCAACCAATATTTCCTATGTGGATATTTGCTTTTCTTCAAAAAATCTTAATGGGTCATAGATAATTTATCACATGGGTTCATTTCTTAAAAGTAGAAATGAAAATTTTATCACTCAATTTAGAAAAAATGAGTAAATTTAATTGTTATGTAATTTTGAGTTTAGCCAACATAATTTATTTAAAAACCAATTGAGTTATAGGCCCTTTGGCATATGTGGGAAGGGGGAGTTAATATTTTATGCAATGAAGAAGATAAATACATTTTAATTTTTTGACATATATATATACATAAACATGTATTATGTATAAACATATGTGTACATACTGTTATGCACATGTATATTATTATACATGTGCATGTATATATCTGTAAAATTTTTCATAGATATGATTGTCATACATCTCATAAAAATTATAAAAAGTAACCTCTAGAAAGATCAACTGTGATACATAAAATTCTTTTTTGGTTTTAAATGTAATTCTGGTGCTGTAGTAGGTGAATTTGATTTTATGGAAAATGTTTCCAAAGAGTTGTTATGCTCTAAGATGGTAGGAAATATTGCCTTAGCTGAGTAACATGTCATACCTTATCTTCAGCAGAAAAGCTTTGAGGGAAAGGACTTGTCTAAATTATCACTGCAACATCTCTCCTTTTCTAGAGAGTTCAATAGCCACAGGCAGTGGTGAGGTTATAGGAGACATCACCACCTTCTCTTCCCCTAGTGTCTTTTGTAAATTATTGTACTTATCCTGACCCCATGGCTTAGGTTTGACTTAATTTGCCTTAGATTCTTAAAGAATTATTGCTTTGGATACAAAAAAGCAAAATCAATATAGTCTCAGTCTCATGACTATTAGATATTTTATAAAATTTATAGTCAAAGCTTAAAGATAAATTATAGTATTGTCAATTTATTTTCTATTTAGATTTAGCTAAGTTGATTACATTCAGCTGGAATAAATTCGTCACATTATAGATATAAACACTATTGTAAGAAAAAATAAATTTCCACAGTACCAAAAGCTAACACATTTTATTTAAGAATGATAGCTATTATGATCATGAATTATGTTTCTTGTATGCAGCAGTTTTGTCTGTTTTGTTCTCTGACACATTCCAAAGTCTATAACTGTGCCTAGCACACAGCAGACGCTCAATAAATATTTATGAATGAATAACTGAATTTCTCAATCAATTTTATTTAACAATAGCATATATAATTACAGTGTATCAACATATAAATAATAGCATACACAAAGGAAAGACAAGCAACAACATATCAATTTTGATCAAAACTAATGATTTCCAGTGTTCATTCTCAGCCTTATTCTCTTATTCTGTATCTAGATTTCTATATTGCACATATTCCAACCTCTAGCCAATTCCATTTGTGTTGGGTGTTTTAAAATGAATTTTGGGGATTGTTACATGCAGGTGTCAATATCTCACTCCTCTACAAGGAATCATATTTCTTTCAAAAACAAATGGATGGTAAGGTTGTCATAGGTCCTGGGCTTCATTTTCAGCAAAAGTAAATAGAAAGAACATTTCCAGGGAAAGGATTCTAGCATGATTTTTTGAATTACTGAATGGTTATGCAGCTGCAAATACCAGGTATTATGTAAGTGAAGATTACATTTTTATACAAAAAGACAGACACTAGCATTATACTATTTCAGTAACAAAAATATTGATGGTATTACTGTCAAACATAATTTTTACAGAATAGTCTTCATATGTATAGGAAACAGCTGAATTTTTTCAATCAGTCATTTTTTTGGATAGCATGCTTCCTGACAACTAGCCATGCTTGGGAAATTAATTCAGAATTTTATCTTTAAGAATTTACAGCCAACCCTTTCAATAACAAGGAGGGAAAGGAGAGGCTCTAGATTATACCTACAATGAACACTGATACAGTTATTTCATAAAACAGGCAAAATTTCAAAAAATTCCTAAAGAAAACATTTCCATATATTCAGAAAACAAGCACAGAAACTCAGAGATTTTGACTTTTAGAAAATCTACCCTTGGAAATAGGAGTAATGTACTTCCATCATTTCTGTACAATGACCTCATTTTACAACATGGGAACTGGTATGTCAGAATTGCTAAGTGTTTCTTTTTTCAACATCTATTTTCTTGAGAAAGATGAAATTAATTTTTCTTCTATTTTAATATCTCAGACAAATCGCATTTCTTTTTAAAAAATTGCTTTCTGGTAGTCCATAGTTGGTCATCCAAGAAGAATCCCACATGAAAAATAAGCTTAAATTTATTACACAGGAGAACAAGACTTGAGCCTTAGTTAGGAATGGTCGAACCACGTGGAACTCTTCCTTTCTTGATCAATTTCTTAAAATTGGATTCTTCATCAGAGGCTGAAAAGAGGAGGACTGTACTGAAGCATAACTTTCCATTACTGTGTCTTTTTTTTTAGGAAAAGAAATATATATCTATATATCTATTGCTTTTCAAGTCCCATGCAAATATTACACAATTAATTTAGAAGGTTTATACAAACACTGATGTTGGTTAGTTTGTATTCTAAAATAAACTTCCAGTCAAGGCTTGTCAGATTACAATAAATTGCTAACTAGTGATTCAACACAGGTGTAACTAATTGCAACACATGAAAGCTTCTCTTTGATAACTCATGCTTTGACTTCAATGTCAGCTTTAGAAAAAACTTGAATAAAAGCCTAAAGCTAAAAATTAAAATAATGTAAACTAAAAACCAAATTACATAAAATACTTCCATTTCATTTCAAGTAAGTACTTTAAAAAATAATCAATAATATATTTTGCCTATAGAGATAGTGAGCTGAGGATGCATAACTTTAAATTAGATAGAACAGGTCACCAACTATTGATCTCCTTTGACTACCATTGACTCTAAAAGGCATGTTTGACTTTAGAAGAGAAAAATACAGAAGGTATTCTATTATTTAAAAGGCAATTTTATGATAACCTCCTTGAGAAAGTCTTAAAATTTTGAGTATTTTTCATTTTATGATATGATAAGATGAAGTAATCATATTTTTCTTTATCCCTAGAGGTCCAATAACTTAGATGTTTATTTCTCACTTGTCAATGAGAAAAATAATCAGTGTAAAAACTCTTCATATTAAAAATAAATACAAAATGAAATTGATTTCTAAAGCATTCAGTTATATAAAACATGCCCATTAAAATCTTCACATGAACATCTCCACTATCATAAACAGATAAGACAAACATTCTCAGATGATTAAACTATCTGAAGATCATCACCTCAAACACTATTATTTATTATTACATAGATGTTTTTAAAAACATAATAACAATAATAAGTTGTTTTCTACTGAATTTTTTCATGATGGGATGTTGATTTTTTCATGTTCACTATTCTGTATTGTGTCTCAGTATTTCATACATTTCCAGTAGAGCTTGACAGTCTCAATTTTTAACATCTGACCATTTCCCCAAGAACAACGGTGCAACACAAGGTAATACAGATAAGAGAACTGAATGGACTCAAGGCTTAGGACAAACCTACTCAAAGCCTCAATAGACTTTGGTGAATCAGAACACTCATGTCACCACTGCTAAAATTCAGCTTTTGCCCTCCCTGCTCGCCATGGCTGGGGAGTTAAAATAGCCTGTGAACAAAACGGAACACCATAAAGCACACACCAAAACTTACCATAATTGTGGTTACAACTACTGTTCTGTTCTCAATAGCTGCTGTGTCATTGCCAAGAGTGGGTACATCTTGAATCAAGACTAATTTATCCATGTCATTCCAGTAACCAACCTGCCAAACAAAGAAAATACTTGAAAACATATTTTGTAAGAGTTGACTCTACCTCTCCTTGGAACAATGAGTGATGTAAATAAGTAAGCAATAAAACCAAATTTCAAATACAAAAAAAAAGATATTTGGAAGTTTTAAAAGTTGATGATGCACCAGTTTTCTTGGTGTTAAACATACTGCCTTATTAAGTAGTTAGCAGATTCCAATGTGTAATCATAGGGTACACTGGGAAAGAGTAATTCCCAGAGGAACAGACACAGATGGAACTCTGTGAATGTTGAGATTCTCTTCCAGTGAGATGAATTGGTGCTGCCTAAAATTAATTTATATGATTTTATCACAAAAGCTACAGATTGTATGGCAAAGGGAATAGCCTGATTTATAAAGAATACTTTCAAGAAAAAAAATTTATATATCTAAAAAGCAATATAGAAATGGTTTTTGTTTTGATACAACCCAACCACTAGAGAACAGTACCTTTACTGAAATGCTAAGAACATCACAGATGAATATTAATATATTCATTTTCAAAGTTTACATTTAAATTTATATTTTTAATTTAAAATCATTTATTTTGTTGTTAAGAAGTAAAAAAGGATGGAACTGGAGATCAGCATACGGAGTGAAATAAGCCAAGCTCAAAAAGTCAAATATCATGTGTGTTCAGTTATATGCGGAATTTTGGTTTAATGTAATAAAAGTAACAACAGAAATGGGATTTTAGTGCCAAAGGGACACTGTTGTGTGTGTGGGTGTTAATAGGAGAGAGTCAACATGGAAAGGGCACCAGGGGTTGTTAACCATATATGTATGGATATAGCATAAAGAAACACACCAAAGAGAATGATAGTCAACAATATCAAAATACATCGCATCTGTGCAGGTAGATGACATAATGAAACATTGTGAAAGTTGTTGACTAATAGGAGGTAGGACGGAAAGGGTAAGCAAGAGTGATAAAAGGGTTAATTTAACAAAGCACCATACATTCGCAGCTGAGATAACAGTGAGAAACCCCTTTGAACAATGAATATGCAATTAAAAATGAAGGACTGTAAAATAGGTCCTGGAAAAGAGGGGGAGAGGGAAGGTGAATGGAGGGAACAAAGGAGGGTGAATACAGTTTATTTATTTTATATACTTATATGAAATAGAAAAATGAAACCTTTTGTGATTGTTTTAAGCAGTGGGGAGGAGGGCGAGGGAGAGTGATGGTGGGAGAAAACCTAACCAAGGAACAATGTAAGCAGATGTAGAAATGTTCCCTGCAGAACTAATAAATAATAATATTAATAATAAAATAAAGGGGAGTGAGGAGAGGGAGTTAAGGGAATATAAGATACACTATATGCTTATATGGAATTTTACATGAACTTTCTTGTATTATCAATGAATCATAAATAAAAAATGAAGTGAAAGCCTTTTAGTTAAGTACCTTAAAAGTAACTATTACAATGGGATGTTACTGAAAATGGAAGATTCTTTAATTTATTTAAGGGACGGCAATAACATACTGAGTGCTTGTTCTGAGGCAGACATTGTACACAATGCTTGTTATTTTACGCATTGTAAAGTTAATACACAGCAAATGTACAGGCTGGTGCTCTTATCCATATTTGAACTATGAAGATCTATTTTAGAATTTTAAAGAAATTATACATTACACTCTAGTGGGGCCAGAATTCAAAACTCAGGTCTGTATGACACCAACTCCATACCCTTTGCTCTTATGTTACATAGCCTCCCAACATGAGGGTTCATTTAATCCCTGCCAAATTTCTGTTTTTTAATCTCTTGATGCAATTCATAAAACTCATTTCTTCAATAAAATATATATATTTGCTTGCTGGCCTGCATTCACTATTTGTTGTACTGTGTTTTGAAAGGCTCTGTTGCCTTCCTCAAAGAGTCTTAATTGCCCATGTTAGTATTTATGAACACATTAAAATAAAGTAAGCACTAGCATGCCAGAAAGAGGGACTAGAATGATGGAGGGGGTGAATTTAACTAAGAAATATAGTAAGCACTTTCAGAAATGTCACAATGTATCCCCTGTACAACAATAACATGATAAAAAATAATTAAAAAAAAGAAAGAGGGAGTATATTTTTTGCAAGTGTTGCATATATAAATCAATAACCGAATAGATAAGGGGCAGGAATTTTCATTTATATGACTTGCTAACTTTTTGATTTGATCTTAAATTATGGAATATATAAATTCAGCAATTATTTTCAATTATCCATGCAAATCCACTTCTAGCTGGCACTTATTTAGTAATTCTGTGAAAAATTTAACTTGAAAACAAGTATACCTTTGAGATGCTACCTTTTCCTCAATTTTTATGTGTACTTAAAAAATACCAGTGACTTCTTTTTAATCCCACATGACAATTATGTCAGATGACTATGGGTTTTACAGTTTAGCAGTCCATTAGTGTATAGCCACCCAGCAGATCACAGCAGCCCACTTTCAGACAAGAAATTGTTTTCTTTATTAACAATCTCGTGAAAAAAAATCACAGCTCTGGGACACATTTTGGAGAATCCTCAATTATGGGCAAGATTTTCACATCTTGCATTTAACCTGTGGGCTCACAATGATGTCTCAAAATGATAAATGATTCAGAAGTGCTGGTGAATTAAAATAATAAGCAGAACTGTATCTTCTTACTTTATATCTACATGAAATTCTGTGAAAAATTAAAGCCTCACATTATGATATGGGTCCAATCAATGGTAGATTTCATGGTGGCCACGGATTTTTGGGAAAGTCAGACCTTCTCTCAATAAATGAAATGTTTACCAGTAAGAATTCCTGAAATCATGCAAGGCTGGTTCTGGAACATTCCCTTGGTAGTCCTGGGGATAATGGTGATGATAAGAATATTTCTCCATTCTTAGGGGCCTGGACTTCAGGAAGTTTTGTGCCTCTGCTTAATGAGACTCTCCATCAGTTTTTTGGTTACAGAAATCAGACAAACTGATGCTCTGACTCTGATCTATTTTCAAAGACAGATCCATGGCTGGCAAGTGTTCAAGGTACAAGAATGATTGCTCACTTTTCAGACGTATTGCCTAGTCTCATCAACATAGAGCCTCTCACAGAAGCTCATTTTAAAGTTTAATATTCTTGAAAGAATACTCAAATTTATCATTGCCATGGGAAAACAAAGACGGATGAGTCTATACCGTTCTACACTTCATATTTCTTTAGAGTCTTAGATGAATGTCAGCTGGGCATGAAGACACACTGGTCCTCAGCCTTCCAACTGACTCTTTAGCTTTCTCCTCAAAAACCTTAATTTTGATTACTATGATGTTTCAATAAGTTATGAAAAGATTCAGTACTATAAATAGCCCACTTGATATTACCTCTAGTTAGCACCTGCTTTCTTTTTCCATTATTGCTGTACTTAGTTTTGTAGAATATGAAGTTGTCTTTTGCATTTTGAAAAGCTACTTGGGGTGTTGGAGTAGTTCAAGTGGTAGAGCACCTGCCTAGTAAATGTGAGCCCTGAGTTTAAACCCCAGTACCACAATGAATAAATAAACACATACACAGATTAAAAGCTTCTGCTTAATTGGCTAACTTTGCAAGATTTGTCCTGTGACAGGAAGGTGGCCTTTCCTACCTCTGCCCACTCACCAGTTTGTTGTTTGTTTTTTGGTGGTACTGGCTTTGAACTCAGGGCCTCAAGCTTGTTAAGCAGGTTCTCCACCACTTGAGCCATGCCCATAGACCTCTTTTGCTTTAGGAATTCTTTTTCCAGATAGAGTCTTGCATTTTTTTGCCCAGGGCTAACCTCCGACTTGATCTTCATACCTACACCTCCTGTGTAGCTGGGATTACAGATATGAACACTATATACAGCCCCTAGTGTAAGTTTTTAGGGCGGGGGTGTTGATGTATTCCATCTACCCCACAGCTAGCAGCAGGACTTTCCTTAAAATAGGCCCTTTTTTCTTGTTGCTGGCAGTGTGCCTGCACAGGATTAAGGGAGTGGTTTCATGGAAGCCCCTGAGCTCTTCTCAGGAAGCATGTCTCCTTCCTTTGCTTTGGGCAGTCTCCTCACAGGAATTTGTCATGGTGGTGCTTCTGGGTTCCACAACTGCCATCCAACTCCTGCCCCAGCTGGCCCTGACCCCATAGGCTTCAGCCTTCTATGTATTCACTGGCAGCCTGCAGACCAGCAGGTGGGAAGGGTTGCTCCTCCTGTAGACACGAACCATATCCATGTGACAGTCAGGAGCAAAGCACAGCTGGGAAAGCTGGTGCCATATCTGTAGGAGACCTTAGCCACTCTGCCTTAGGCCTCTCTCATGTCTGGCTTCCAGAACTCTGACTGCATGGCTAGCTTCAAATCCTACCTCCTCCAGGCAACCTTCCTTCATGTGTTTTCTCCACCTGCAAGTGGTCTTTTCCTTTTAGAACTCCACATCCTTCTCTTTGCTGGTCTATACATGAGTTCTCTACCTCAGAAGAAAATAAACTCCACTTACAGCAGACTACTCAGTCAGGGCATGACATAGGAAGGTTCTGCAGTCAGACAAATCTGAATTAAAAGCTTTCTTTTCTCACGTGAGATAAACATCCATAACTTATCAGAACAGAATTTTCTCATTTGAACAAAAAGAATACAAAAACACTCAAATCATAAGTTTGTTTTGAGGATTAAATTATGCAAAGTACCAACTCCAGTGCTGAGACAGCAGGAATTTCATAAGTTGTTGCTTATTATTATATTAAAGCACTAAGGTGTGTTTTGGAAAGTTTTTTTTTTTTTTTTGATGTGGTACAGGAGTTTGAACTCATGCTTTGCACTTGCTAGGTAGGCACTGTACCACTTGAGCAACACCTCCAATCCTTTGTGCTTTGGTAACTTCTCAGGTAAAGTCTTTAGCTTTTGCTCAGACTGACCTCAGCTCATGATCCTCCTACCTCTGCCTCTTGTAGAGCTGGAATTATAGACATGTAAAGCGAGGCCTAGCTTGTTCTTTGAGCTAGGGTCTTGCTAACTTTTTTTCTTTCTGGCCTGGCCAGGGCTGATCTCAAACTGTAATCCTCTCTCTCATCTCTGTCTCACTCATGGATGTTTTATGGAATTATTTTTGCTAAGATCCCTACTGCCATATTGCTTGCATGGGTAGTGTAGAAATTAGTAGTTTCATTTAGCAAATCATTATATATCAATTATATGATAGAAGAATTTATCTCAGCACAGTTTATCAAGAAAATACTAGTTATAAGTACTCACTTTAAAAAAAGTGAAAATTTCAAATATCCAGTTCTGTTTCTCCTGTAAGTCTTTTTAAATATCATGTGCAAACTAGGAAAACAGATCTTTCTTTTCTCTTTGTGCTCAGTTCATTTGTGACTCACCTTTCGAGGTCCTGTGTTCTTTAGCTCAAACACATCCATTGTGTAATTGACTCTTCGTCCATAGTGGTCAAACTGAACATTTCCAGTCAGCCCTTGAATTCGAACCTGTGAAGAAAACAGAAAACCCACACATGTATTCATTTGCCATTTCAGTTATAGAAATCTCAACTTCTAGGTCTGACAGAGTGGTCAAGTGGTAGAGTGCCTGCATAGTAAAGCATGAAGCCCTGAGTTCAAATCACAGCTCTGCCAAAAACAAATTCTTAACTTCGTCTTCTTGTTTTATGACCACCTGGGATGCAGAACTATAATCTTTAACCAAGTCACTGAAATGCTCTTGGGAATCTGAGGTATTGGGATAGAATCGGAAAGAGGATATAAAAGCAATTTTCTGCATATTTGGAAGATGGATGTTTCTTTTTTTAATATTATGAAGTTTTCATTTAAATTAATAGAACTCTTACTCAATGTTGAAGTATCCTTTTCAGCAATATGAATATAAGTTGTTTATAGTTACTTTTCAGTGCTATCTATACATCCACACAATGGATTAGATCACCTCGATTCCCCTGCCACACCATATTTTCTCCTTGTTAATATTAAAATTATGATACAAGAAGCCAATAGTATATTTAAAAAAAAATAATCATGCCATCTGATAACAAACTTTAAATTCACTTTTACTTAACTAGCTGAGTTTTCCAAATATTTCCTCTGCTTTCACATTCTGAACCCAAGGTAAGTTTTCATCCCCTGCGCCCCTTGGGTTAAAAGGTATGTGATTCCCTCTGACATAAAAACTGCAAGCAGGTGTGAGGAGCACCATTACTGAGACACAGCCTTTCACAGTCAGTTCAAAGCTCCCCACAAGGATCTACTGCTCTTTGCAGGATTTGAGATGACAGCTTCTCCACAAGCTTGGGTCCTTGAGTGATTACTGTGAGCACAGGGCCCTTGCAAATCCAGAGTGTGTAGAGGGAGTTTCTTTGTTGTTCTAAGATACTGGGATTTGATATTATTACTATAGCATAACCCTGATTATCCTGACTATGCACTGACATAAAATATAAACCTCGATTCCACCTGGAAATGTTTCAAAGATGATGATGGCTTGATACTTTAAGAAATGACAATTGTAACATATTTATGCTCAGAGAAGTTACTCTGTTTTCTTGAAAATTTTACTTATGACATGAATTAAACTTAAATACAGCTGGGAGTGACCTGTTTGAGCGTCCTCTCCATGTCAATTCCCTGACCCCACGGAGCAGCAGGGTTTGCCAGACAATCCCCAGCATTTCCTCTTCTTGAAATGTCGATTTTCTGCCTTCTCAGACTTCGGAATGTTTCAGCCATCACCAGGACTCCATCATAAGTCAGAGCAGAGGTATACTAATCAAAAAAAAGTGATGATAATGGTAAGTGCTACAATCTTATCTAGTACTAGAAATGGTTTTAAGTTTCTGTGGGTTTAGCACGAAAGCACCACCTTCTCCAAAAGGCAATTAAACCACTCAAAATTAGACTCTGAATTCAGAAGTTTATATTCTTGATCAAATACAAAGACTGTATGCCAAATTTCATCACTCTAATTTTAAAAGGAGAAAACACACTATGAAAAATAGACATCCTAAAAAATAATTTTCTGTAAGGTGAGAGAAGAAAGACCTCAGGTGAGGATGTTCTGTTGTGTCCAGGTATAGACACTTGAGTATAAAACACCATGTGCAGGGCTGGAGGAGTGGCTTAAGTGGTAGAGCATCTGCCCAGCAAGCTTGAGTTCAAACCCCAGTACCAACCCTCTCCCCAACAACAACAAAACTGGCAGTCCATTGTGGTGGCTGAGCCCCCAGAGGGCTAGGCTATCTTATTCTTTTCCACCTGCAAAATGCTTAACATAGTTCCTTAAGATTGAATTTAAATTCATTGACTTGAAGTGTATGTCATTGTTCAGACTCCCAGAAGAATTGTGGGATTGTTTATTGTTTTCAGATACATAATGCTAGAAATAACATTTACTTAGTTAACAGAAATGTGTGCACCTGTCATTGTGCTAAATAGAAGTAAGTACCATTATATACTGTGCTTATATGGAGTGGGGCAGGGATAATCATTCATTTCCCAAGGCAACAAAGTAGATGTGAAGTGTTGACCATCAACACTCTGATACCTGCACCATGCTTCTCTTTGAGAAAAGAATGAGTTCCCAGGAAAAGGCTATTAAGGTAAGAGAGGAAGTGAGGAAAGACTGAGATGAAAATTTAACCTGGAGATCATGCTTGGTAGAGTTTGATTAGAGAATTACTAGACACACAGAACATAGGCCACAATTTTCTTGAGTCATGACAGAGCAGCAAATACTAATCCTGACAAAACGACATAATCTCCTTCAGGAATTCCATATTGTGATTTCCATTTGATTGACACATTCTACACCTGTGTGGAGGGATTGCGCTGTGGACAGTAAAGATGATCTTCATTTTCTGTTTGCAAATGAAGAAAACTCATTTGAAATTCCAACTTTAGAAAGCAAACCTAGGCCATATGACCATATGGGAAACTTGTATTCCAAGTGAGAGAAAAACGAAAATATAAATAAAACATGAAATACTATATAAATTGTAATGAAGAACCTTTCAGTAGAAGAAGATGGCCTAAGAATTAAGCTTGTAATAGAAGGATTTGTAAGAGACGTGAAGATTAAGAGACTTGCTATGTATTCCTCCAGGACATGATGAAACAGACTTAATGATAGGCATCTCCCCTCACAATTGGGGTGAAGTGCTACACTAAAAACAAATATACCCCTTTTCCTTCGTGAGCCAATACATCTTGAAGTAGCCCATAAAATCATCTTTTAGAAAGATGAGAAAATAAAAGCAAGAAATAAAAGTGAAACTTGCTAAAGACATAAAGGGCAAGAGAAAAATGTGATGCTAGTATTTCAGGATCAAGGGAGGAAAAAAGAAAAACATTGTTGCTTTTTTTTTCAGTAGGGAGAAAGAAGCTGAGAAGAGATGGCACCAAAAAGCAAATGTACTTGCTGTGCTTTAAAAACGTGCATCCATTTTTGTGAAATAAGTGAACTGGAAATCAGAACAGGTATCACACAGAGTGGTGCAGAGCAAAAGAGACATCCAGCCATAGTAGCAAAGGCCTGGGATTTGACAGGTCATCGAGCTGATAGATAGAAAGAAGCAGTAGTTTAAATTGGCTTTACCTTTTCAAAGTCTCTAATTCTTTTACGGGTGCCTTATTGTGTTACAGTCCAGGAAATCCTATTTATGGGCATGCTTCTAGATAGCACCTTGAAAACTCTTATTAAATAAACATTTCATCTTGTCATAGGATAAAACTAGGTCTTAGCTAGTTTCATACTCAACTGCTCTGTGCACTGATCTGAATGGCAGAATAAGTTCTGTTTTCCAAGGTTTGTAGATAAACAAGACACAAATGGGAAGAGTCATAGTGCAGTGGAAAGATTTGGACTTTGAAAAGAAAGAATTGAGATCAATTCTATTTTTGTTACTTATAGGTTTATGAGGATGTGAAACATATTCTTCAGCTATGGAACATATAACAGCAAAATAATTTTCAGAAAACCCAAGAGAATAATGACTATCTACTGTAGTTGTTGTGAGGATGAAGTTTCATATCCTGTCTGAGCTCTCTTTGAAAAATGTGCTTAGACACTAGTGAGATGTCATGAGGACTGCAAAAAGGGAGTAGTAGATGGTCACTGCCCCACAGAATTTATGGGTGTGGAATAGTAAATACACAAAGAATAATGTAAATTCTCAGTGAGAATTACATAATCAAATGTCATGGATATCAAATATAAATGAGAAAGAATGATATTTATTGGAAGAATAAGAAAAGGCTTCACAGTGAAACTGGAAGATGGCTGGACGTAGACAAGAGGAGATGAAAGTGGAGGACTGTGAATGGAAGTGGGAACAGACCACCTGCTGAGGAACATAAATGTAGCCCCTTTGTCAGACTGGAGTATCAGAAAGGGAGGAATGGGTCAGGAAATTGGAAAAACTTGTAGCCTGTGTTGTGGAGGGCCTGTTGGTTTCATTGTTTTTATTTTCTTATTTTTTTTTTGAATCAGGGAAATGAAAAGATTGCAAATCATGCTTTGAACCTTAGTTGAAATACTGAAAAACCAACTTGCAACTGAATTAATTGCAATCAATTCTCATTATTCATGGAGTCTGTGTTTTTGAATTTGCCTACATGCTAATATTTACTAATGATCTCCACATCAATACTTGCAGCACTTTTGTGGTCATTTGTGGACAAACATAGAGCAGTGAAAAATTTGAGTCATTTAATATGCAAAGTCCCAGTGGTGACTGAACAAGGAAACACTGTTTGCTTGTTTCTGCTTTCATATTCCAGACAAGTGTGCCTTTGGTATTCTATTTAGTGCTGTTTTCCCCAATCTTGTGCTTTTTTCATTGAATTTTGAACCAGAGAGCTTTCAACCATGAGGTCAATGTTAACGGACTAACAATGTATTAAATAAGGCTCCTATAAACAGTAGCATACACAAAACAAAGTTTTGCATTGATTGGTTGACAGAGAGATGGTAACTAGAGACTCACACAAACTAGACTGATACTTTTCCTAAGAGCAATGGTTCATACTTGCTCATTCATTACTCAAGGAGATTTTATAGAATGTAACTATCTCAGATAGTGAAAATTGGCAGCATGTATTTAATAAATGGCTTCTGATTCCCACAATCATTCCAAGGAGAGCTGTGAAAATTATATCTATAATCTGATTTTTGTTATAGTGTGTCATAAGCATTTGTGAAAACATTGTGAAATTGGCCTAAGTTTAAATAGATATATCAAAAAGTCAAATTATCACAAGTAAATCACATAAAGAATTATATATATTTTTATATAACAAAGAGCACAAAACCTGTAGAATAGCTTCAGGTTATTAAATCGGAGACATTAAAGTGATTCTATCTTACTGGGTGCTGGTGGCTCACACCCGTTATCCTAGATACTCAGGAGGCAGAGATCAAAACTAGCTTGGGCAAAAAAAGAGGCCCTATCTCAAGAATACTCAACACAATAAAGGGCAGGCAGAGTGGCTCAAGTGGTAAGGCACCTGCCTAGCAAGCAAGAAACCCCGAGTTCAAACCACAGTACTGTTAAAAAAAGAAAAGAAAGAACGAAAGATTCTACCCTGAGTATCTCAAGAACTTGGTTCTTGACTCAAAGACAGTCGATTAACATTTATATTTAATATCTTGCATGCATTCGTATGCAAACTCCAGGGTAAGAATGCAGAGCTTGGTACATAGTGGACACCCAATAAATGCTTTGTTTTAAAATTCTTTGTTTCTATAGACAAGGAATGGTTCTCCAAATTCCAATATTGTTGAGAGGAAATTGACATAGCCAATATGAAAAATTTTATAATTAGGACATGGAATAGCCAAACCTTCTCCCTCTAGATCTTAGTTTTTCTATGACTGGATTTCCAAATTATGTATCAAAACTCTTTACTGGAATGAGAGATGAAATGGTGATGCTTTCTTAGGTGGGAGTTCACAGCCACTAGATTGCAGTTGAAGTATTCTGCCATTATTTACTTAATGTCTAAGAATTCATTCATTCATTCCCATGAGAAAAAATGTACGTATGACAAGAAATTGATCATCCCCCTCTGAAAGTACTAACAACATACTTCTGTAATGTTTGTCAGAAAAAAAATCAAAGAAACCAACATTTTACTGTTAATTTTAAAGAAAAAAATTGCAGAAGCTCTATATTTTGCATTTCTACTAATTTTCCAAATTGTCTAGTCATTATAAATCATTTTACAAAGCAGTTTTTATCTAAGTTGAAAAGTTAACAATGGTCATTTGCATTTGACATATGTAATTAACAAAACCTTTTTAAAACATGCAATGTCTTCAAGGAAGTTCATGTATAAGGTAATGATAGTAAATGACTTGAGTTAATGTCTAACAACTGTGAAGTACAGAACTACAGAAATTACTAAGTGTTTGTTTAGTTTGGTGATAGTGCCAGAATGCTACTTTCCTGTGCTACAACATTCCTGAGGAAATGTTACTGGAAGAACTACATAGTGAACTTTCTTAAATTAAAAAATGCTAAAAGTATAATAGATAGAAACAAACAAATACCTTTGGAGGAGTCTCAGATCCTGGGTATTCTCTCTGATCTAGCTTCTTCCAGCGATCCATTAGTTTAGTTACCATAGGTGTATTAAAATCCACCAATTGGAATCCTGTAACATTGGCTCCACCATGTATAAACCTTTCAAGGGAAATATCCTTGAATCCCTATAAAAATCAACATGAATCGTTGTTTAATCAATTCATTATACATATGAGCTCTTTAATGGCCACGTAATTTATTGACTAATTTGTACATCTAAATAGATTTCTAACAAAACAATGGCTACAAGGAGGCAGGAAATCTAATTATGTCAATGTAGCTATTAAATTCTGTCATTCAAAATCCAATACATGAAAAAATAATATAAATATTTTCAGTGTGGCTCAATTCACATATTTCTTGAATGTCTTTTATGAGGCATGGAGGGAAATACAGGGGACAAATATGATAGCACCAGAAAGTCTTTTATCAAGATATAGATATAGATGTGTGCAAATGTGCACTGCATAAAGGTAATTTGAAGATAGTATGACATTCTGAGTCTGATGGGTGAGATGATTTTAAGGGGTTTTGTTTTTTGTTTAATTATGAAGTGGCCTAAAAGCAGGGAGAGCTAGTAATTTGAGCTGGAGAGGGTAGAAACTTTGATTACATCGTCACTGTAGCCCCAGAGTCCTGGGATGTGGTAGTGCAAGACAAAAGAGTAAGACGGGCCACTACTGGTGAGGAAAAGATGGTTTCCACCAGCTAGAAATGAAGAGCCTGAGAGCAAATGGGTATCAACCCACTTGGCCTAGCAGTAGTAACCTGGATTTCAGAAATTCTGGTTTCTCTCTCTCTTTCTCTCTCTCTCTCTCTCTCTCTCTCTCTACATATATATATCTACTTCCTTCCCTCCATTCTTCCTTCCTTCTTTTTTGTTTTTCATATTTTTCCACTAACAATTTAAAGATACATACTCAGTGCAAGAAGAGGACAACCAGCTAAGGCAGTAAATTAATAAAACCAATGGTATCATTGCACATGCACATACTCACAGAGTTTTTTTAGCTTCTAAAATGCTCTTTTTCTGTTCTCTTGGTGTTTAGTGAAGGTTCTTTTGGAAATGTAAATATGCTGCAGTTTTTCTAAGGGTACTGAGGGAACATGTCTTGTCTTTGTGAGTAAGTACAAGTAAAATGTGTCCAGTTACACTAGGAAACAGTGAAGACTTGGGGTTGCTCATCTCAGAGGTTTTAGAACCTTCTATTTTTATTTGTATCTAATTTTTGTAATATTTTAATAATAAAGAAGATTAAACTGTCTTCCTAGCCCATGTATGCACGTTGCTGTTTATCTAAGAAAAAATTGATTAGTCTAGTGGTAACTAATGCTGTTGATGAGTGGCCCAGATATGTGAGCAAAATACTAATAAGCTGGGTTTATTATGTGTGGATACTGTGTTTAGCACATCACACAGATTATCCATCTAGTTCACCCATCACAAAGTTATGAGATAGATTCTATTAATTTTATTTTCAGAAAACTGAGGCTAAGGTAGGACACAGTGGCTCACACCTGTAATCCTAGCTACTCCAGAGGAAGAGATTGTGGGGATCACTGCTCCAGGCCAGCCCTGGCAAAAGAGTTAGCAAGACCCCATCTTAACAAATAAAAGCTATGTGTGGTGTCTTGCAATAATGCAAGACCTATTCCCAAAGTGAATAATGAACAAAGGGCTGGTGGCATGGCTCAAGTGGTAGAGCACATGCCTAGCATGTATGAGAGGGGTGAAGCAAAATTTTAAGGTCACCTAGCAAATTTATAACAGAACCAAATTCTAACCAGATAAATTAATTTTTGAGTTTGTCTTTTATACTTTATGCTGGGGAATGAACCCAGAGTCTGGTGCATGCTAGACAAGTGCTGTATCACTGGAGCTACTAATCCCATCTCTGCCTCTTCCCACCTTTACAGACAGGGGCTCACCAGCACTTTTGCCCAAGCTGGCCTTGATCTCGTGATCCTCCTGCCTCTGCCTCCTCAGTAGCTGGGATTATAAACCTGTACCACCACACTCAGCTACTCATGTGAATTCTTACCCAAAGGTGTGATTTTTATTAATTATCATAGCATTACTAAGAGAGGCAAAGAGATGCCACACTTCCCTCAAAAAATAGCCTAGGTTTTGAATCTCACCTCTATTACTTTGTAATCTTTGGTTTCCCATATGTAAATGAGGATGATAATACTCAATATCTAGCACATCTGGTTTGCATTCAGTGATTGATAGTGATTATTAATTTGCTCATTTAAAAGATGTTTATTTCATGACTATTATTCGCCAGCTAATTTGACAGCTCATCAGTAACATTCTCATTTCATTGAGAAATCAACCTGCCACCAGAAAGCAAATTTATGCTTTGAAAATGAGAAAACCACTGTCCTTCAATCTTTAGCTACTAAAATATCAGTTGAACATTTGTTTGCTTTTTACCAGGGTATAGGGCAGACCCACATCAGGCAAATAATTTCAATGTTTTCTAAGAGCCACAGTAATTCAACTTTTGCATTAGCTGCTAATTGATGACATTATTTTTTCCTTTCAGCCATGACTGAAATAGAAGTTCTGCCAAGCCTTCTTGTCTAGCATCAACCACAGCTGAAAGTCACAGGTGAAATCTCAGCCTTCAGAGAAGTCATGTGATGTACAGTCTACCTAATAAGTAACACTCTGCAGTTCTCTGCTCCACCCTGTTGCTGCACTGAAGGTAAAGGGAAAAAATTACCTTGTCTGACTGTAATAAGCTCCTTTCAGTTATGTTTGAGTGAATGGTGGGTGGCTTAGTTAATTTTAGCTATGTCTGTTTGAGTGCAAACAGTATTTCTCCTTTCACATATTTTCATATAATTTTCAATAGAAAATTGATAGGATCTAGACTGTGAAGCTGTTTCCTTGGCAACAGTTACTTTGGTGGTCATTTAGTTTCAGTTTGTTTTCAGAGAATATTAGGGAACTGAAAGTTGGGCAACATTGTAATAAAGTTATTCCACAATCAGGGGGAAATCAATGGGTAAGACCTCAGCAAATAATGCCCCTGAGGGCAGGCATGAGGGCGGAAATGCCTTCATTTGTTGAAACGGGTTAGTACGTTGTTTGCATTTCTCAATGGTAATGACCTCTCCAGATTATTCCCCAACTTGATTGTTCCTTTTAACTTTCATTTATAGTTTACATATCCCCGGGGGATATATACCTTTATAAATCTGTAAGTTCATCCCACCATCAATGCCTAGTAAATGCTTAAGTTTTATCTGGCTCAGATAACATGTCTGCTGTGTTTTGCATTTAAGTTTCATAGGTTGGTAAGTCATATTGAAATAGCTCTGGCACAGTTGACAGAGGAACCTCAAATGTAGTGCAGAAAATTCCCCCTCTTTATCTTTTAAGATCAGTTTGTGAAGAAATGGACTTAAAGTACACACTTTTTTGATGTTAGGACTATACCTGCTTCATGCAGACATGTGGAAACACAAAGGAAGCGAAAGGAAAATGGAAAATACAATGCTGCTAAATTGGTAGAATCTTAACTGGGGTCCAGGCATTTAAAAACATGTGTAGACTGAAATGTGAGAAACTGTCTAGCTTCTGAGACTAACTAGATAAGTAAACAAGAATGGTGTCTGCCTTTCTGAAGTGTGCATATGTGTGTGCCTATGGTGTATATGTCTTGTGATGAGGCATAGTCAAGGAATAGATATACCTCTTTATGATAGAGCCAAGTGTTTTCCTAGATGTAAACTGAATGTAGTTTAAAAGCTAAAAATCTAAAAGACAGCATGATTCTCACTTTGCCTTGCAACTGGAACAAATGTGAGCCCCTTGTTGATAATAGCTGGTCTTATTTAAATTATCTAACAGCTGAAGGAGGAGTGAAAATAAATACAGACCAATATGTCTAAGACAGACCCCTCTTATGGCTTAAATGAATGGTCACTTTGTGACATTATTGTCACTGGTGTGGCACTATTCCCTGTATATTTCATTTATTTCTTTGTGACTTTAATTATTCTTTGCAATCAGACAGGCTAGAATTTCAAACTTGCCTTTGAGACTTAATGGTCTGTGTGATCTTGGGTAAATTACACTGAACCTCATTTTCCAGTTTATAAAATAAACTCATCTATTTTAAGGACTAATTTAAACAAAGATAGTAACATATAATGACCAAAGAGCTGGTTGCCAGAGGACAAGCAGAAGTTCAACAGATAAAGAGTAAAGATAAAACCCATTTTATCAGGTAAAAGCAGACATTCTTCCTGCCCATAAGGAGCTGGTTGTGAGCTAATGCTTTATTGGACAGTTCTGTCATAGAGAACCAACATCATGTTTTAATGAGTGGGAAAAAAGTGAATTCTACACTCTCAGCACACAGGGCAATCTGTGGGCCCTGAAGAGAGGCTAGGCTAGTGGGTACTTATGGATGACTTGCTTTTAACAAGCAACTCTATCACTTGTGATTAAGTTGGATATATGTCCCTAGGTGGCGACAACAGCCTAGGTTAAGGATGCCAAGAGAAAAGCAGCACTAGGTGTCTGGGAATGAGCTTGGTTTGGAGAAGGGCAGAAAGATGACTTTGGGGTTAAGTAGGGTAAAATCTTATAGGGCTATCTGCATTAAAGTTAAAACCTAGAGGGTTTAAATAAAGCAGTGCTTAGCTTTGTAATGCTTACTGTGGTAAAAGGTGTTAAAAACCGGGACAGTGAATCAGAGTTGGGGCATTTGGAGAGAAATGCCAGTCCTGTGGAGACGTGAGACAAGCATTAGCAGGTAGGGCTCAAAAGTTCACAGGGAATCAGACCATGGAGGGTCTGATGTCTTTTACTGTATTTTAGCCTGTGACCAATGAAAAAATTTAAGCAGGAAAATGGTATAATCATATCTGTCTTTGAAAAACAGCTAGGAGAAAAGTGAAAGAAGAACTGGAAAAGAGAAAGGTGAAGGGGAAAAGTAGGGAAGCAATTTTTGTAACTTAAGTTTCTGGAAATAAAAACAGACTACAATGAAGCAACAGATAGAAAGTATTCTTCTGCTTCTATGTCTCTTAGAACAGTACCTGTCTGTTGACAAATGAAATAGTTTCGTCAATATCTCTAGATGATTGGTGTGTCTAAATAATAAATATTTTACCCATGTACAAATCATATATAGGACATAGAAAAGAAAAATATTCCATTAAGCTTCCATTTCTTGTTTTTTTTTTTTGTTTTGTTTTAGTGGGTTTTTTTTTTGTTTTGCTTTTAGTGGTATTGGGGTTTCACCTCTGGGCTTATGCTTGATAGGCAGGCACTCTACCACTTGAGCCACTGTGCCACCCCTTTCTATTGGGTATTTTTGAGATAGGGTTTCATGAACTATTTGCCCAGCCTGGTTTTGAACCATAATCCTCTTGATCTCTGACTACTGAATAACTGGATTACAGGCTTAAGCCACCAGCTCCCAGCGCCATTTCTTGTTAAGTTTTAATTATTCCTTTTTTTCTTTTTTTGCTGGGTCCTAATTTAGCCAGAACAGCTACGATTTTCATCTGTTTCCTTTTTTTTCTCTTTATTCATATATTCATATGTGTATACATTGTTTGGGTCATTTCTCCCTCCTGCTCCCTCCCTCTCCCCCCCAATTATTCTTAATATGTAATAGTTAATGACAATGGTAGTGATGTTCATAGAGAAATGTCAAGAATCAGGAAGGGGCACACCCATTCATTTAGATATCAGGCATAGCTCATGCAGGTCAGATGGCGTCAACTGTCCTTCCACCGTCTTGGACTCTCACAGGCTCTAGCTTGAGTAATAGGGAAGGGATTGTCACTTCCTTTAACCTGACTAGAAGTGAGACGTTAGCACACTGCCAATATCTGCAAAGACCAGGAAGATCACTGGTTCATGGAGAACACCTCTAGATTCCCATTTCATTATGAGAGAGGGATGGATGCATGAGATGCACAGTAATAAGTTGAAGAAGAAGAGTTCAAATTATGGGTAAAGATAAGATATTAATGATAAACAGTATTCACATTCTGCCTGAAATAATACTCAGTTTCATTTAAATACTTGGAATCTTTATTTCAGCCAAAGAATGTGATGGCCAATAAGAAGTCAATCTTTCTTGCCATACCTTACTTTGCCTCTTGGTTTAGAGAATTATCATTTAAAGGAATGTAAAGAATACCTGGATTTAGATTCAGCTTCCCCAGGGCGTTGACCTTTTTTGACTCTGACAAAAATGCATACTTATAAATTCAGGATGCATTTTCTTACATATCCATGTCTGCTTACCATTCTTTTCTTTTTGGCAAATATAGGTTGGATTTTATATTTTGTGCTTTGGTTTTCAGTATTTTTGCTTAAACATTACATCAAAATATTTCAACAGAATATTTAAAATCTTCTGGACCATTTGTAGCTACCTAGGAACCAGTAAGAATTGTTCTTTTAGAAATTGGGGGTAAGTCAACCTTAATGATTTTGTTAAGGAGCAGGCTCTCATTAAATGTAAACAGCATTGTAAAATTATAATTGGAATTAATTTTTAAATTTATTTCAGAATGTCATTATTATATAGAAATATAATAATTTTTTATTATTGACCTTGTATCCTGCATCCTTGCTGAACTCATTTATTAAGCATACAGTTACTTTTTGATTCCTTAGAATTTTTATATATGTCATCTCAATTTTATGACTTTTATTCTTTTTTTTTTGCCTAATTACTCTCACTAGGATCTTCAGTACAATATTCAATAGACACAGTGACAGAATATATCCCTATCTTGTTTCTAAACAAGGAATTTCATTCAGTCTTCAACACTGTAATGTTAACATAATTTTTCATTTTGATTCTTAGTTGGCTTTGGATTTATGATTCCTACACATGTAGCCCTCAAAATATGGCTGTTGATTGGTTAAATGAAACAAAAACTACTTAGTTATTTTAAGTAAGAGTCTTTTAGGGATAAATGGATGTCAACAGGATTCATATTAATACATTATATTATAATGTCACTGTCCTAATCATGTGTTACAAAGATACCAACCACATGCAGTAAAAGTCTATATTCAGTGAGATTGATGGTTTGATTCCCTACTATAAGCAAAAATGCTTTTCTACTTGTTATGTGGCATTTAAAATAGCTTAGATACCCTGCCATCTATCACAGCTGTTTAAGAGGCTATGAAGCCCATTAGAGGGCTATAAATATTAATTCTTTCCATTTAGTATTGGTTTATTTATTCTAGTTGCCAATGTCAGCAACTCATTTTTGGGATGATGGCTTATAATATATTGATTTTCCTCCCTGAATTCTATTGTTTGGAAAGAATGGATGTCAGAACCCTCTATTTGCAGTAATTAGTTAGAATCTCATTATACAATGACAGTGTGAGTACAGAGATTCCGTAATCATAAGGCTTTTATCTTATAGTGATTTATGACAGAATATATTTGCTTTGAGATTCATATTTTTTAAAAGAAATAATAAAGAGCACATACTCTGGGGCTACTGAAAGCATGGAAAAACAAAGTCAAATTTTCAAGTATTTCAATGTAATCCATTAGGTTGCAAAATTATTCTTTATTCAAGAGACACAGTACAATAATGGTTCATAATCATGCATGGTTATATTTTATTATCTGAGCTCCACACTGAGATCTAGTTCACTAAAGACTGAAAACTTGTATTTCAACCTATGGTGGTCCACTCCCCATGCAGAGGCAACAGCATCTCTACTTCTGCTTCAAGCTCAAGACACTCATCAAAGAAATATGTGATGGGAATAGATAGAAAAATAAGGAAACATCCTTGATGTCCCTGGAATAAACTACTTCAGAGATCAAACCCTTCGGGCAAAGGAACTTTAGTAAGGCAATAGAGGAAGCTCCCATAGACAATTTCTCCCTACACGGGAAGGTCAACAAGAAATATTTAGTGAGCCTTGTCAAAAAAATGAAAAGACTTGTCCTGGGTCTTTAAGAATCTCATTAATGTTGTATGTATCTTGTTCAATAATCATCTGCTTATAATATGTGAAAAGTCAACACAGGTTAAAAAGTTTATATTACTCCCATTCAAATGACTTGCTTAGATAGCCAGTTTTTCCTGTTTTCTTAAAATTGGAGAATATAGGTCATCAGTTCTGATGATTCATGTAATGCCCAAGTATTGACAATCTTTATCTGCAGAGTACATTTACCATTTAGACAGACAGAAAGCCAGTATTTAATTTGACAAGTGATGTCATGAGAAGTAAACATTATAATTAGTTTTAAAGGTCTCTTTAAAACTGCTCTGTATAAAAAAATACTGAATTCTACATTAGAAATATGACAATCATTATAATAAGATATCAATTTACAAAAAGCTTAGTAAGAAATGTAGTATAACAATTTGTTGGAACATTATTTTAAAATAATCTTGGATGCTTGAGCAACTTTTAGGAAAAGTAGAAAATAAAGAGTGCTTACCAAATTTGCAATGATATAATGGTAACCTTTAACATGCTTTCCAACACTCACAATCTGTGGAGATACAAGGAAATAAGAAAAAAGTAATTTAACTTGGTTGAAAGATTATTTTTAAAGTTTAACTATTTCAGGATAACTTCATGTCGAGCTATGTTATGGAAACAACATACTTTTCCTTAAAGAAGTAACATATTGTACTTAAAAAATTTTACAAGCCACATTAGAAATAAGTGATTAAAGTAAAAAAGAATACCATTTTTATTTTATTCACACATTGTAATAACCAATTATTCTATTATATCTCATTCAAAAGACTATTGTTATGATTTCCTCAAAAAGAAAAACAATGTTATGACCCCAAAGTTTACATTCAATAGAATGTATTAGATTATAAATTAATTTCGAAGCAAAGAATTTAAATTTACTTAATTTACTGATCTGTAGAAATACAATAGTAAGTGTTAAATGTCTTCAACAGGTAAGAATTTATCATCAATGAGTAGATTGGATGGCTGTACTGTGCAGCAATCAAGGTTTTCCAAGGCCCAATTTCTGTTTTTCAACACAATACCAAAGATTACCCAATTAATCCTCATCTGCACATATTTACAGTGATTTTTTTAAACAATAAGAAGGATAAGGACAAAAGAACATCAAAAGATTTTACTTGCTCTGCTAGAATAATTTTTTTTCTCTTGAGAATCTTTTTAGGATTATTTAGAATATACAAGGTCAAAATGTTAAGCAAAGGGAATAATAGGGATAATTTTAAAATACAATCTTTCTTTTTTGAATTCAGTAGTGGCTGAAGTTTTCTTAGGAAGTTGTCATCTGCATAAAGAAAACTGTCTTATTCATTTAATAATAAAATATATTTCCAAAAACACACATGGAAACATTTCAACCGAAGAGTCCATGATTTTGCAAGAATTGAGTGACTTGTTCTGGGGTTTCATTCCTCTAGTGATATTGATGAAATGGAACTAAATAAGAACCTTATTTTTCTATTAGAGATTATAACTCTTATATTCTGTAAAACTGATAATTCCTCTAATAAGAGAAAAGCTAACCACAGTTACTAGTGAGCCATTTTGTAGCCATACTGGTATCCTCAAATGTAAAGCACAATGCAGACTTTCACATACCATCACAGAATCTGTTGGAAAACAGATTTTTATACATGGCTAATAGTGAAATGAAATTTCTGCTTATGTCATCATTTTGTTTTGTTCACATCTAAGATTCTCTTTTACCTTATTTTTATTTATTTCTTTATGGCAGTAGTAGGATTTGAACTCAGGGCCGTGTGCTTGCCAGGTAAGTGCTTTAGCATTCTCTCAGTATGGGAGTCATACCCCTAGTCCTCTCTGACTTCAAAAGTTAGGCAGTTACATTACCATTAGCTTGGATTTTTGCATCTATAGTTTTGTTTACATCATTCAGGATTTGTGTACTTCCTGCCTATGAGACTTTTCCTTCAGTTCTGATAAATTCCGTTAATATCCCTTAAAATATCCTTCTCTCTCAGAGGTTTTGTGTTTGCTGATAATAGACACTGAATGTGATGTGGCCTATGGCTACTTCTGTAATTTCTCAGATTTGAGACTCCCAGACCATGGCATGTTGTATAAATTCAAACTACAACCTGCCTGAGGAAGACTGTGATAACTCCCAGGGAAGATATTTTCCTTATCACTCTAATGCCAGGCCGTGATGAAAACACCTAGCTGACTCCCTGTACATGTAGTGGGTTGTTTTTGACTCTACTTTGATTATCTTTTTGTCCTTCAGTGATCTGGTTGTATATGGGTTCTAAGGTCTAAATTATTGCTTTGCCTGCTGACCTGAAAGCTACTGTTCTTGGGTAACCATTAAATCCCAGTCAGGCTTCCCATTCTGTCAACTTCTTCATCACAATTGCCTTTCACTCCTGGCCACTGAAGATTTTCTTTACTTTCTTAGAAGCTCAGCTCTGCATCTGTAACATTTCTACATGTATTTTATTGCTAGACGTATCTAATCTATAATTTATCTAAAATCAAACCTCCCCTGAAAATCTTACCAAAAAGATGAAGGCAAACAATAAATAGAGGAAATTATATAGAAATTTCAGTAAAGAAAAAATTAAATGAGTGGTCGTATTGGGTAATCCAGATCTGAGTGATTTAATATGAACTGAGGAAGCTGGAGCCGTTTATTCTCTGGGAATCTCAGATATAACCTGTGCAAAAGCCAATTATCAGGGAACACTTGATAATAGATACTCAGTTGAGGAAACGGCATACTCTGGAATGTGTCTACTTCAGATTCTTGCTATTTGACCTCGGCAGGGCTTGTTATCACCCAGCTGTGAACTTTTCATTTGTTTCTGATTCATTATAACTTTCTCTGGTATGGATATTTTTTTTCTACTCTTCAATCCCCCATGCCCACCTGTCTCTTTCTTAGCACTGTCATTTTGTGAATTCTATCTAGCTGCAGTCGATCACCTGTGCCAGTCTTATAAAACATTAATTTTAAGATTAAAACACTTGTAAATTTTTTTAAAGATGTCAACTAATGGAAATTAAGTACTTGGTGTCTCCATGAAAAAATGACTTTCAGCTCTAGATTGTCTAGCAAAGAAAATAACTGTAATCAGTTAAAGCTTACACAAAGAAGTTTCAAAGGCTGAAGAATCATAAACCCACAAGAAACTAAAAGGGACAAAAATCCTGGTAAAAGCATCTTGTAGAGCTTGATATATATTCATCAACATCCTTGGGGAACAAGGATCTGAAAATTATCTACCTTTGCAGAGATGCTAGTGGGATTGCCATCTCTGCTGAGCGAGATCCCGTCTGGGAGACAAAAACGCACTGCACAAACTCTTTGCAGGCCTCACTGTCTTTGAACAACAGATTTACCTATTGTCTCTGCTAGGGGTAGCTATGGTATAAAGCCAGATTGAGGTCTCTCTATTAAGGATCTACCCTAGATAGAAGTTTCGTTGTGAAAACAACTCTATAGAGTTGTGTCCTGTAAATAGCGTGTTGTTTAAGCATTTTTAAAAATTATTGTGCTAACCTGACAATGTCATAATTGTGGTTTGACATGGTGTTTACCATTTCTACTGAAGTAAAGAATATCTCATGTAGAAAACAAATGAGCGATTTCACCTTGGATGCATACCAGACCTTGTGTGTCTATGTGTTTGACATTATTCTTTTTCAAACAGAGAAACAGTTCAAGATGAAAGATATGAATACAAAATGGCACTGTCTTCATATAAGTGTGATTGTTCAAGTTGTAATGAGAAAAAGATGTCTAGAGTGAGGATGTGGTTGAAAAATTAATTATGGTCTTTTGTAAAGACAGGAAAATGCAGCAGTAAGAAAGCTGTTCTTTTTAAAGGAAATAGAGGGTGCAACTAAACAAAGAATAATGACCAAGTGCGTATTTAGGTTCTGAAGAATAGGTTTGGAAGGATTCATGAGTTACAATGATAACCACTTTCAAAGGAGCCTATCTTTACAAGAATAAAATGCCTAGAAGAGGTGACTAGTTGACTCCTTTAATTACTTTACCTGTTTCTTTTTCAGGACATAAACACTTGTCTCAAAATATCTATGGTACTGGCCAAATAATTCAGTTGTAAAATCAGTGCTATGCATTATTACTAAGGTAAATACCAGATGCAAACATTGTAATTCTTTTACTAACAAATTATGGCAGGATCAATCCTTATGAATGTAACTTTCAAAGTATTTATTCTTTGAATAAAATTAAAGAAAAATGAACCCAGAAGTTTTCCATTTTGACCTTGCCTTTTAATTCAATTTAGTTCAATAAATGTAAACAGAGTAATTCCCATTTATAACTTTTGGGGGAAGAGTTTTGAGGACTATAAAGATAAGTAGTGTTGCTGTTAATAGACTGTTCATTATCTCAGAAAGGGATTAGAGTCAAACAGGATTGACTTAAATACAAGGCAGAGTGGAGGGAGGGCTGTGGATTTCAAGGAGAAAGTGATATTCTTTGCTTGAGAGAACGAGGTAGGTTTTAAGAGTGAATAGATACAAAGTCAATATTGATTAGGATGAATAAAGAAAGTAAGGAGGATATAAATTAGTACACAAAGGTCAACTTGAGACTTGCAAATAGTGAAGATTTGACCTTTAATTCATAGCCAGATTTTATATCAATCTTTTATCATGTATGAATAACTTATAAAGCACTGAGAAGTCCTTTTATAAGGAAGACTGTATATTACCTCAAACTATTATTGAAACTATGATTGCTGTATTGAGCAATGGCTTCTATCTACAGACATGCAACAGTACACTCATATATGAGATGTTCGGGTTTCTCTTTTAATGTGATTTTATAAGTGAGGTGCAAATTCCTCTCTCAGATTTAATTTTGTCCCACAGAATTCAGTGATGTGGAGAAATGTAATTCATTTAATAGTATTAAGGTCACAATGCTGGTAAATGCTGGAAGTTGTCATCAGAGCCCTCACTCTCACAAATCCTCATTTTTATAGGAATTCTAAACTTCCAAATTTCCACTGAGTGTTGATTTTCAAGATGCTTCAAAATTTTTACTTCAGATGAGATTGGGCGCGTGCAGGCTGGTATGGCCAAAGACAAAATTTTTACTTCAGAAAAAGCACATTTACTAGTTTTATTTTATTCTCAACAAAGAAGGCCCTTTACAAAAGGACTTTTGTAAAACAAGCTGCAGGCATAAAACACAACCTTACAAGATAACAGGAAAATAATAAAAAAATTTCAGGGGTGTGAGGTAAGCATGGGATGAGGAGAACAAAGCACTCCCAACCATGGAGAACTAGGGATGCTTGGCGTGAGAAGGTTAAGAATGGAATGGAGAATGGAGAAGGTGAACGCTCATCAGATACTTAAAGAAGATTCATGTGTCTGTGTACATGCGTATGTGTATGTTTGTTATTTTCTTCCATAGTTGGAGATATTAAGGATTATAAAAATTTCTAATTAGAAATAACTCTTTTTGGGGGAAGAAGAAGGAGGGAATAGTTGGGTACAAAGGAATGA